AAATTGCCGTAAAATAAAGTGCAGCCCCGGAAGCGTATCTGTGATGTTTTTAAGTCCCCAGATGCATTGCTCAAGACACCGTTTAAAATTCAATTTATACACGATGACATTGTTTAAAACTTTTTCGCTTACTCGTAAATGACACTGCACCTGTAGTTTACGCAAGCACACCTTTAATGCCTGTTTAAAACGCAAAAATAGGGAAATAATAGGAAAAAATAGGGGTATGAAACGGTAAAAATTTAAGGCATGTATTTTCTATATAAATAAAATACTTGCCTTTTTTAACTACGGCCCCGTCATAATTTTCAAATAAGTTTAACTAATATTATTATTTTCTTTCGGGGACACCTGTGGTAGGACGGGTGATCAGTCCACATTATCAGTTGACCATTTCACCCATTTCCTCCTTGCAGAGGTGATTAACTAATATAGATCTCATATTAAATGTTTTATTTAAATGTAAACACGAGATGTTTACATTTAAATAAAACATTGATTTACCACTCACGTAAACTACATACATTATTTAACTGGATTTCACTTCTGTGAATAATTTTACGAAATGTTTGCTTATTAGCAATCTCAGAATATACCTCAATACAATAATTTTAATTGAGAGCCCAAAACCAATCAGGTATAATTAAGTTTGTGAGGACGTCTTTGTAGATGCTCTCGCGTAGTCATGACCTGTAAGCCGAGCAGTGTCTTGGAAATAGGGAACCGTGTTCACAACGACCCTCGTTAGGCCTGACGTTAACCCTCCTCACATCCAGATGGTATGATCTCACAAACGAGAAAGACCCAATGTAAATAAAATTTTCGTCAATGCCCCTGTAACTCTTTTGAAAGCCAGGATTTTAAAGCAAGGCAAACTCTTTCTTTATTTTGTAGTTTGATAGGACTTTTATTTAATTTTAAATTGTCTTGTCTAAATGTGCGCGTGAGTTTTCTATTTGACAGGTCTAATGGTAGTATATTTTTACGGGGCCGTTGGTGTAATAGTAGCAATGTACGACTGATAATGAACGGGTCGAGGATTCGATCCCCACCATGTACAATGTGTTTCTAATCAATTGATATGATTTTATGTAGAATTTCGTCTGGAAATCTGGAAATTAAATGGGTGTTAGGAATATCAAAATTCCGTTTGGTTTTCGAACCACCATCCACAAATGAAAAAATCCGTGAAGTTTAATCTTATTTTGGTTAGTTCTAGAATAGCTATATAGCATCTTGTTTAGATGTTATATAGCTATATATAAAAATAGTTATATTTAGAGGCGTATTCAGGTATTTAAAAAAATGGTAATGTTTAGTGTATTGAAATGTTTGTTATAAAAAAAGAATAAGTTAACTGTCGACTAATATCTCAATATAAAAACTGCTATGTTTAAAAATTATATAAATTTGATAATAAACCAAAAAAATACCGACCTTTTAATTTTTATATTGTCTTAAGTATTAATTTCCGAAAAGTAATTCTTAACGTTATAAATGTTTTATATTTTTCACAAGGTATTTGCCCATGAGCAAATAAAAAAAATATAATCGATTCTGTCCTGCCCGTGTCGTAAATTTTGTCAATTTATAAACGTTTGTTAATTAAATAATTTTCTACCGTAGTAGTAAGTTCTATGTTTGAATTATAATTTTTTCATAATCAACATTTGCTATGGTTCTAGATTCGAGTCCCGCATCACATTTTATTAAATTTCAGTTCTAGCTTTTAAAACTCACTTCAGTGGAAGTATCAACTAGAGAACGAAAAGGATTTTCCGTTGCTATTTGAATTTGCTTTCAATTTCGATTTCTTTTTAGTACGTCTACGTTAGGTCAACGGTTTGAACTGAAGAAAGGTCAGACGTATCTTTTTCACAAATATAACGAAACGTGAATAAGAATTTTGTATTTGTACATGGAATTATTATAAATATTCGTATGACAATATTATCTGGTGTTGTATATGTATATTACACTAGCTGTGTCAGTGACTTCGTCCGCGTAGAATGGTTGTTTTAAGCATTCCAACTTGTTTTTGCGTACCTCTACATCTTTATAAATTTAAGTTGCGCTCACGCATCGACACCGGTCCCATCGTTCTTGTAAGTTAAATATAAAAACATAGATATAAAGTGTCCTGGACATTTTTTTTAGATCATGTAAAGAGGAATCATTCTTTCATACACATTTTTTGGGTGTCTTGAACCGGTTTCGCAACGTACACATCTGAATCCCACAGAGATAAACATTTCCCCCCGTTTTGTTCACATTTGCCGCGGTATCTTCGCTTCTATTAGCCACAATGCGATGTTTTATTCCTTCCTTCCTCGATAAATGCTCTAACCAACATAAAAACAAATTTTCAATTTGTATTCGTAGTTCCTGAGATTAGCGCGTTCAAACAAACAAACTCTTCAGCTTTAAATATCAGTAAAGTTTAATTGTATGCTGACTCTTTATGGAATGAATGAAAAATACATCCTATCCCATCAGTAGTTTACGCTACTGGTACCCATTTAAATAAAACACTTAAACGGTTTATAACGCGAAATATATTAGCTAAACTCGTTTACAAATTTTACTACTCGTCTCCTCGTGACCACAGCAATGCATCCGAAACGTCGGGCCGTCGTTAAAATAAATTAGCTTAACAAATATATTTCTAGTTTTAAACCGTTAACGGTGTTTTATGTAAGATTTTTTCTGTAACAATTGAATAATATAAGTCACGTATTAAACCGTCGAAAGTAACAATCCGCATTTAAATATTCGCCGGCTAATTAAAAAGCTCCACGCTGGCTCGTAATTCTTCCAAGCAATTGTGACTTCTGTAGCCAAATACCGCTTTTATACCGGGACTGTATATTACGCGGGGGTCGCGGCTTTATCTGAGCTTCCGCCCGAGTTGCGTTCACTTGCGATAGAATGAAAATAGTAGCACAATAAAACAGGGTTCAACTATCGGGCGGAGAGGCGGAGAGCCCACTCCTTATCGGAAAACTGTTACTGTGATTTATTGCTGGCCCGTATTTACTTACCGGTCTCTTAACTGCACCTGAAGTGCTTCATTACATTCATACTCTTTGTCTACACGTGGCTGAGTATGTTTTTTATGACAGATAGGCTTATGGTAGGTGAAATACTCCAGCGTATAACATCTAAACAAAATGCACTGTCGAGCTATTTTGCTCTGGATATTCGGAAATACACAGACTGCAACCGAAACGCGATTAAACTTCACGGCTTTTCTATCTGTAAACGCTGGTTCGTGATCCACGACGATCTTTCGATATCCCTACCTCCAATTTAATATTCAGATTCCAGACGAAGTCCAACATGTTTCAGAAAAATTATAAATTATTTACAAACATATTTAAATAAAACACTTTAACGGTTTAAAACGCGATATAATTCGCAATTTAACTTCGGCCGGACGTTAAAAATCATTTTCAAATAAGTTTAACTAATATATCTCGTTTTAAACCGTTAAAGTGTTTTATTTAAATGTGTACTACTCGCGTAAACTATAGAGTGTATCTATTTACAAACATGTTGGTTGTGGACAATGCAGTGCTTATTAGCAATACATTGCAACTATTAGACGAACCACGTCAAAGGTTTAAACAGAAGATAAATTTAAACAAAAGTGTCGCAAAATCTCTAAGTTGTATATTGCGATCGTAATTTGGAGCATACCTTTACCCAAGTGAGCACTCACTCAATCAATCAAATACAGCCGTGATGCCTCAGTTAGCAATGATTTAATTTGAGCGTTACACTAGGGAGCTATCTGCAAATAGGCTGAGGTCTGCGGTGGCCAAAGCGCCCCGCTAAGCCAGCACCTAAATATAGAAATTATAGAATTTAATTCCGTTTAGTCAATTGTGTTGTTGTTATTTTCATTGAATTACATTTTACGTAAACCTATTTAAAAAAAACGTATTTTTGTGGATTTCCGAATGTATAAAGCCAAAATTCTATCATGACTAGATATTGCAATTAGTGTATGTCCTTTCTTATATAAAAAATCGTAATTATATATATATATATATATATATGTTATGTATATATATATATATGTGTGTGACTACATTTAATTAGTTTGGAAAATAAAATACTTAAGAGGGTTTCTACTAGCAAACTAGCTACCGTAGCGCCATCTGTGGCTAGTTATAGGAAATCTTTGCAACAATTCAGATATTTTTTAATATTACCCTTTATTTATTCTATTGTTTTCCTGAGATAAGTCACCTAGGATAGTATAATAACTTAAACACTTCGTTTGGAAAGTTATGTTTAGACACCTTTCAACGTGGTGTCGCAAAATAGCACAAACATAAATAATAAAGAAATATCTCAGTAAGTGTTGCACTTCTATCCAAGCAAGTTTTAAGTACACAAATTCGTGGTTTATGTTCTGTAGTTCAAATGTTCACAAATACGCTTGAAATATGACAAAACATTGTTAACATAACCGAGGCGCATATGCGGAAAACATAAAAGCACCAGTGTATTTGTGGATTAGTAAAAATCTGAGTACATTGTAGCATGAAGGTCTTAGTTGAAATTCCTCGCCGGTTCCGTTGTGCGGTGCAATAAAATATTTCATTATAGCGCGAAATATCCCACCGACCGTGTTTTATTTAGTTGTGCTAACTGATGTTACCAAGATCTTATGACTGTTTATTTTTGTTCGTGCACGTCACGAATATGTAATAAATGCATCAATGTTGAAGATAATAAAAAACATAACATTTTATTTTATATAATGTCATCGTGTGAATCTTGAAAAATTATAGCAATTTAAAACACAATCAGTCAAATAAGTACGAAATTATATTCAGCCTAGATTTGGTCATTTTAGTCCAATTTTAAAACAACGAAACTTTGAAATAAAACATTAAGCATAAGTTTGACCATAATATCGGAAAAGAATAACTCAAACTTTGAACAAAATACTTTATTCAGATTTTTTTAGCTTACATTACAGACTCAGTTTAGTTCTGGCCGAAAATGGCAACCAGTTCTGTCAGAAGCATTTGGAGGTCAATGCCGAACTCAGCCATCTGGTCAGCTTCAGCTTTGAAGGTCTCGTTCTCCCAGAGAGCAACCCAGATTTCTTGCCATTCCTCGCTTTGAAGGCTGTCCATGGCCCTCTTGAATTCTTCGTCGTTTTCCATTTTCTCGTCATAAAGGGCGGCTAATTGGTCTTTGGGGAGGAGGGCAATTGAGTCCTGGATGTAGGCACTCATGCTGGTACCGCTAACTTCGTGGCGCGTGTTCTTCTTCCTTGCGCTTAGGTTGTCTAGAAACAAATAATATATTATATAAAGAACCCATACAAGTTCAGGGTTCACCTCATGTAAGGTGAAATATGTCAGCCATAACGTCGAAACCAGAGGCGAGGTGGAATATTCGGGAATCCACAGACTGAAACCAAACCGTATACGGTGGTTCGTGAAATGATATCCGTTATTTCAATACTCTTACCACCGGGTTAATAGGCATATTTCCAAACAAAGTGCAATATGTCTCATGAAAACATATAAATTGATAAAAATCACGGGACCCGGTGGGACCATCTCGATGACGACGATTGTTAGCTACCAATAGGCAATTTTAAATTTTTGAACTATGCAAAGAAGCAATAGGGATATTTCTTTATTTAGAGCGGATCGAAAGCTGTTGTGCTCGAAAATAAGCTTACACTGTGTTATACATTTTTAAAATATTTTATAAGCTAAATACTGACTATAGTTTACGCGAGTAGTACACATTTAAATAAAACACTTTAACGGTTTAAAACGCGATATATTAGTTAAACTTATCTGAAAATGAGTTTCTCGCCGTGACCACGGCTGCAGAAAGCATCCGAAACGTCGGGCCGAAGTTAAAAATCATTTTCAAATAAGTTAAACTGGTATATCGCGTTTTAAACCGTTAAAGTGTTTTATTTAAATATTTTACAAGCTTTTCGCGAATTGATCTCGAGGCTCTTGGTCGATTTTTACGTATAAAACAGTTAAAAACGCCAAATTTACTTAAAAAATTTGTATGTAAGAATTTTTTAATATCATAAAATAGCGGCAATAATTCTAAAACATGTATTTACTATTTTGTTATATTTACCAATGAATTCATTGAACAAGTCGATGTAGTAGGTGATGTCAATTTCGTGTCCTTCTAAGAAGTCAACTACCTAGAAATAGAAACGCATAATTAAGTAAACCAGAAATTAAATTAACTAAAGAAATAAACCGAAAAGAAGAAGGGAGTAAGTATCGTTGTCTTTCTTTGAAAAAGAGATTATCATTTTTATGTAACTTGAGCGCTCAAGTTATTTAAAAATGTGGCAATATTAAGCATAAATTGTGTAAGGCTTTCACGGCCATCGTTCAGCATATATCTTTCGGCCGACGTGAGTAAGAAGAGGTTCTCGACATTTCGCCATCACGTGCGGACAGTATCATCAGGAGATGTTAACTCCTCGATTGCTCGAAGAATTATGCATGAAAAGTTAAACTTACTTATGTAAGTGTCTTTCCACAAAAACAAAAAAAACTAAATAAAAATGCAACCGATAAGAAATCACGAGTTAATAATTAGATTCAAATACTTACAGCTGTAAATTCAGGCAAGCTCTCCATCTCTTTGACCAAACCGTTGAAGTCTTTCGTAGCCATGTAATCAAGACTGCCGGTGAACTCATCGAACTCCAAGTAGTGGCCGTTCAAGTGATCCAGATCATGACCAGCTTCTTCCTGGATAAGGTCTATGAAGTCGGAGAAGTGCTCGTGGAAGGGTTTCCTGAGCTGGGGAGCTGCGAGCCCCAAGCAGACCAAGCTTAAGAGAATGAGGACCTTCATGTTGAACTAGCTGAATTAACTGAGTGAAGAATCTGGTTTGCTGTCAAATTTATAGGCGTTTTAAGATAAGGATAATCTCAAATCAGCTCACAAGACACATTTGATTACAGTAATCTGATTGAAGCCGCAGCACTAGCAAGGTGCGTGAACTAGTTATATAAACGACTAGCTGTTACCCACTATTTCGTCCGCGTACTGTCGCGTCGTGCTTGCGAGTTAATCTTACAAGATAGACACATACAGTCCTAGACAATTAAGGAGGAATCATTCTTTCAGACATAGTATTTTGGTATATTGAATCGTTTTTGCAGGGGAGGCAACATATTTATCTGTTACTTTACTCCTGTTGGTCGCAGCCTAATATTTTATAGACTAAGGCCTTCCTCCATAAATAGTTAAACCAATATATATGAAATATTTGCAATTCGAATCAGTAATTCCAGAGACTAACGCGTTCAAACAAACAAACACACTCTTCAGCTTTATATATTAGTATAGATTAGAACTAGACATTTTTCTCTTATAAATAATATCTTTGTCAAAAGCTTTTCAATGACTGCCACAATTGGGATACTTCCCAGTCTAAATAGGAGTGTTAATTTAATAATCCAATATTTTATAACGAATTATTGTGCTTAACAGTTTTATTTATATTATATTTGATAAATGACATCATATTTATATATTAGATAAATAGATTTTAATTCACTTATGAAGACATAATATTTAGTTTCAAAATTGTGATGTCATTGTGTGATCACTAGTCCGAAAGTGCTGGTACGTCTTAGCTCATAATACAATCGGGTTTGATTAACTTATTATCTGTAAGATATCAATATATCCTTTTAGGTCAACAGGATAAATAAAACTTCTCTATATTTATCCATATTATATATTATACAAAATACGGTAGCAACAAGTGAAAATGCATGATTCACCAAGAACCAAATTTACGTACATAAAACGATAACGCCTGTCAATCAAGGTAGAATACTTATAAATATAAGTCACGCAATTTTTATCTCAGCAACTACTTCAGGCGTTTCAGGGTTCCGTAGTGCATTCAATATTTATTTATATCTAATAATAACATTAACTTAAAGTTAAAAGATTTTTTAAATAGTGTCGGCAGATTACGCGAATAGTACACATTGAATTTCAATGAGTACTACTCACTACTACTCACTAATCACTTTTAACGGTTTAAAACGCGAATTAATTAATTTATTTTAACTACGGCTTGTAGGATGTTTCAATGCAGTCGTGGTCAGAGGGGAACTAAAGATGGGGATATTCCTAATGTCAAAGTAAAATTGCTAAACTACCGCCATCTCTTTCGTCAGAGGTATTTCCAGAAATTGTCATTTCATGCGAAACGTCAAGCCATAGTTGACATAAATGAAATAAAACTATTTCAAGCTAATATGTAAATTAGTTAACCAATATATTTCACATTTTAAAACATTAAGAGTGGTTCTCTCTAAATCTTCAGAAATTAGTTCCTCTTAAATAAAGTTAATTAATAGTAGGTATATTATAATATGAAAGTGTAAATTATGTCTCTGTTTGAAATATTTCAACGCTCCAAACCTACAAACTTCTTCCTACTTCTTTTGACTAGGAGTAAAAAGTGTAAGAATGAAGTAAGGAGACTAGCTTGCAATCAAATCAGTATTCATTTTTTATATACATATTATATTAATTCTACGTGAAAGATAGTGGAATATTTTGAAATTAATTAACGAACTAATAATGACCGCGAATTTGAACTTAGTTATTTAGTAAGAATAAATGGTGAAAATCTATTTAGAACCAATATTATAAATGAAATAATATTTATTAGTACTAATTTTGCTATCATTCTTGAATTGTGTATTTTTCGAAATAACGATATCTTTGTACGTAATACGTATATCTCTCGATATAAATCTCTAGTACTAAAGTGCAGACTATAATCTGACATTATATGTTTTCAAGGTTTCTTAACGGTTCTAACGGCCGCTATTTTCGTTACTGACGTTTGATAAAGCCGTTTTTGCGATACCGCTTTTAATCAAAGAAATTTGGATATTGAATAGTTCTTGAGAATTTTTTAAAAAATTATTAAAGAACGCTTTTTAAAATTTCACTTATACAGTACATTTTCTTTTTCGTCCTTTTTATAGTATTTGTAATAAATAATGTAAACGATGCTTTTACTATAACAAAGTGATCGACAGACACGCGTCAACTGAGACAGATGTCTATCTTCATCTACAGACACGGTTGTAAGGTTTGTTTTCGATACCTCGTGAGATACAAACAAAAGCGATGTCTGAAATTGGAAAAACTGTTGCCACAAATAACTTTTATAAAAGGTAAAAACATACAAATAGTCTAACACCTCGTTTAATAATCGTACGCATTTGCATTAAGTTTTAATTATGAAGTTAATGTAATTTTGTACGAATTTAAGTAAATATTTTTTTTTATTAAATAAATACATTTGTTTATTATTCCTTAAACTTACCCCTTAATAAGTATTTTTCCATTTTTTTCTCCTGTACCTTAGGTTGCCTGGAAAAGATTACTACTACCGCCTTTTATTTTTAAGTGTAGTACGTAAGATTTTTATTTTTTTTAAAGCTTTTGCTGTGGTCTATAGTATATAGCTATATAAAATAAATAAATAAAAGCAGTCTGTTGTTTACGCGTGTAGCACACATTTACATCACTGTCTTTTATAGTGTTTTATTTAAATGTGTGTTGAAAAGCTATATATATTAGATAAACTTATTTAAAAATTATTTTAACTTCGGCCCGACATTTCGGATGCTTTGTAGCAGCCGCGGTCACGGGGAGATTTTCAAATAAGTTTAACTAATATATACCGCGTTTTACACCGTTAAAGTGTATTATTTAAATAAATAAAAGCATTATAATCGCTGTAATATGGATACTGAACAATCATTACCCATATTTTGACTTCGCCGCCGTCGGGTTTCAGAAAGGATTTTCCCACAGTAACGCCAATTTCCTTCAAGTGCTGTCATATCTGATAAGTGGATGATGGAACGGGTTTATCTTAAATACTCGCATCAGTGTTATTGATACGGCTGCAAGGGAAGTCCACCTGTCAGACCCTATTCATGGCCCTGACACGTGGAACAAAGGGATTAGTTCGCGTCCAATGTAAACGCCATTACCAATATACCTGAATGCTATCGAGATGGTCTAATCACTTAATTGGTATAAGATTTCATAATTGCGCTGCTTTAAACCCTGTAAAATATTACAAACTCAATAAATTGGTTACTAGTATTCAAGTTGGTTAATTATTACTATGATTTATTTTCAATCAATAAATAAGTTAAAAATCTACAACAAAATAAATAAATTTGTGTCGGAGCAGGACTTGAACCGGCACAGCGTTCCGTGCTATTGCTGTAACCAATTGAGCTACCGTGTCCTACACGGCAAAGTCGAACTTTTTTAACCTAGTGATAAATGCACCTCTCACGCAATATCCCCGGTTCAAGTCCTGCTGAAAAGTATTAAAGTTTTCACACTTGATGGTTTAAAACGCGGAATATATCAGTTTACTCGTTTTTTATTTATTTTGACTACAATTCCACGTTTCGGATGCTTTGCAGCAACCGCAGTCATGGACTAAGAGAATGAAGATGGAGTGTGTACTTAATGAAGTATTAACGTAAGTTCTAATTCTAATTGGTTAGAACTTAGAAGTTAACTTTTTCACATTTTAAATGATTGATTAATATGGCGAAAAAACAATCAACTTTCCAAGTTTTCATGAAAAACGTTTTTTTACTCTTTGCATCGGTTATTTACCGCAACTTCATAGTTGCATTAGTATTTGCTCAGTGTTGTCTTCTATTTCTTTATTGTCCCGTCATTTATATCTTTTTTAATGTGACTTAAAGAGATTTTCTGTCTAAAGGACGTGTTTTATGCAATTTTCTACGCCCTATTAGCTGCGGTAGATTCGAGCGGTTCTTGGGGTTTTGCTTTCATATACAATATACACATTTGCGACTGCCTCTGTAGCTAAATGATTAAACGTGTTGCCTAACATTGCGTTAAGATCAAGAGGGTTCGAATCTTGGGAAAACGGTAAATTGTTTCGGTCGGGCTGGGCGCAGAAGTCTGATCTACTATTTGCCTGTAAATTAAACCGATTACTGTAACGGACACAGAAATGTATGCGCCCTATACCCCACGAAGGGTAACGGGATATTATACACATATTTGCTACTTAAAAAATAGAAGGCGCTGAAATTTACCTTAAATCTAATACCCTTAACATAAAATGGTATAAAATGTCCTTAAATCCAACGCTATCTATTATAAAGTAAATAACATGGGATTTTCGGAAAATCGTTTAGGGCACTGATTTTGCTGCAATATAAATAAGGCAGTGGCGAACTCGAGGGGGTCGTTGATACCCTCATAAAATAAGTAAACGAGCACGATCATCCGCATCTACATAATTAAATAGGATTCGCGCGCAGAACGAAACTTAGCGAAGTCTTCAACAGAACTCTCAAAGAAATGAAATATGCACATCTAGAGATTTTGAGCGACGCTTCCCGATGCCGACAAACTTGGGAACCTGTTAAAAATTGAAAACTATTTTCAACTGAATCAAAATTTGCTTATATCGCGCCTTTAATTTTTTGTTGTATTTAGTTTTAAAAATATACTTTGCAATGAGATTTACATTGTATTTCTAAGTATATTAAACCTACTTATCAAGGAAAAGGAAAATATCTTTATATTACATGGTAGCTCAATTGGTTACAGCAGCAGCACGGAACGCTATTGATGCTGGTTCAAGTCCCGCTGGATTCACTATTTTTTATACTTTATGTATTTATATAAAATACAACATACTTATATTAAGGCACATAACCTATTATTATAAATTTACTACGCATCTTATAATCAAAAATATTATAACGTCATTTGTTTAAGAAATATCATGATTTCCTTTAAAAAAAAACACGCTAAATACGTTCATATCTTACTGTAACTTACTAAGGTTTTACATTATAAGTATTCAAAGTTCTTAACATCGCGCATAATGAAACAAACTTCTTACTTGAATAAATTAATTTTGTTAATCTTCATTTGAAAGACGCTAAAGCTACTAAAATAATACTGCTATGGTATAAAAATCAATAGGAAATTATTGCAAACAGTTATACAAATATTGTATCTCACTATGAATACAAACAAAACAGAAGTCGTTTCACATAACAAACACGGCTTTTAAAATAGCGCGTAACATTAAGCATGTATAAAAATGGAATACGCCATTTTTGCAAATGTTAAAAGGAAGCTAGTCTCTGGACATTCTATTTCGTTGAAGAGTCTATTGGCTATCTGGACATCTGTTGGCATTCTACAGTGTTTACATTTCATTTCTTCAAGCTACAAACGGAGACGCCATGTTGCGCGCGCATAGATCGTATCCAAGATAGCTTTGAGGCTTGGAGATCGCGTTGAACGAGTAAAAAACCTTGCGTAGCAAAACGTAACCATGCCGGCTTGAATGAAGTGACATAAATTTGCCGACGACTTGGTTCCTAGGTGCCCTTCCATAATAACCCTATTTATGCGTACAAGCTGCCTCCAGTGCGCTTGTTTTGTCAGATAATAATCTATACTCTATCAGAGTTGGTTTGAACTGATCCCAAAAACTACTGGAATTGAAAATTATTTTTTCGTCGGTTGCACCAGTAACGAAGAAGGCTATAAAATATCAAACTGCGATCAATAGTCTCGAAAAAATAAAAGGAAGTGTGGATAAAACGGGAGAAATTATTATTACTTTGAGGGCTTCCTTGCGTGCGCTGCGAAAACGATTCCAGAAACCGAAGAATGACGCGAATGGACGCGGCGTAAGTCGTGAGTAAAATAATTTATAAAGCTGAGGAGGTTGTTTGAGAAATAATATAATTGTTATTCCACCCGGACAAAGTCACGGCCACAGCTAATAATATAACTGGCTGATCCGGTAAACGTTATTTTATTTTTGACGAGATTAACATCATTGTGCTGATTCAACTTTAACTGCCACCGAAACTCGATTAAACTTCACGGTATTTTCATCTCTGGATTGAGGTTCGGGACCCGGACAGAATTTCGATATTCCTCCCACTCGTTTAACATCTAGATTTCCAGACGCAGTCTAACATGTTACAGAAATATTATGAATTTATAAGAAACACCGGTGGACCCGGTGGGAGTTCCACGTCCTACGACCCTACGACCTACGACCACGTTGATTGCCAGACATTGCTACCATTGGACCATGTTGGCCGTCAACATCAATATTGCATGATACCGTAATAGTTCGATCAATTACTTCCTATAAAACATGGAACGTATATATGGGCTGGTGCCCCAGATAAAAAGGTAGTTTGGATGTGTATAATGTTATCATTTCACATTATTATCTACTATCACGCCTAAATCCCCATAAACCAGACCAAACTTGCTTTTAAGGAAGACACTATTTCATAGACATAGTTCATATAGATAAAGACCATGTACGCCAATTATATGGAATGAATGTCACAAAAGGCCGACAACGCAACTACAAAATTTATGCTTTTCAAAACCTAGATACTGTCTATAGTATACGCGAGTAGTACACATTTAAATAAAACACTTTAACAGTTTAAAACGCGATATATTAGTTAAACTTATTTGAAAATGCAAAGCATCTGAAACGTCGGGCCGAAGTTAAAAATCATTTTCAAATAAGTTTAACTAATATATCGCGTTTTAAACCGTTAAAGTGTTTTATTTAAATTTCAAAACCTAGTTACAAAAAAACAATTGCAATTGCACAAACGCGTTTTACACGTATTGTGTAAAACGCGTTTGTGTAAATGGGTATTGTAAATATATTAACTTCATTTTGCGTTATCACGTAAAGATTTTTGCATTCGAGCAACTTAAAAATCATTTTTGCTGTTATTAATTTTTGTTTTATATCCGATTTTTAAATATGCTGTTGCTATTTATTTGAACAGTCAAAGATACGATACGATAAGATAGAGTATGATAAAAATTTTAAACATAATTTTTCTTTATTTTTAAAAGTGTGCTGATTTCAAAAATCTATTTATTTGAATCTTATAAAATTGGCTTGGGTTATAAATTAGACTATTGCTTTAAATAACGATGTATTTAAAAAGATAATAAAGTAAATTTAGAGAATTCATATTTTTATTAATATACCAATTATAACTGTGTACATTAGTTTTCCTAACTTTTGGTATAAATAAAAATAATGTTTTTGTTATCTTGACATTATTATTGTCTTAGTAATTATTTCTCATCATAACTGTTATAAGGCATGATATTATCTGTGGCAAACGGACCCGTTTTACATTTACATGTAGTATGTTGATGGTCGTGACCCTCGTGATTATTACAATCACTCTCCATTCCTGCATGTTTGAGTTCATAGCGAGGCTTCTCTAGAGAAATATTCATAAACTGCTCAATTAATTTATCAACTTCACCAGACATTTTCGCTTCACTATAGTCTTCGTTGTGGTAATTTTTTATAAGATTTGGGACAGTACTTTTCGACATTTTATTACCTTTATTACTCATTTTCGCTTCCGGTTGTTTATTTGAGTTTTGAGTTATAACATCACTTTTCACGAGTGTCCGCAGTAGTGGAATTTTGAGGAGTTCTAAAAACTCTCGTCTGTCGTAGTGACTTTTATCGAGCTTCTTCAGTCCTTTGATCCTTTTGCTATTTCTTTGTATGGAATTGTTACATCCGCTACCTGAAATATTTGGGTTATCTGTATCTTTAACGTAAGCAAGTTCTTTTTTATTCTGTACCGCCATCAATTTATGTTGTAGGTCTTCATACAGTCTATCTTCTTGCATCATATAAGACCGGTCGTCTTTTTGAGCCAAATAGATTTTGTTATGAACAGGTTTAAGGCTCTTTATATAGATAAAGGCTCGCTGGTTAATTTCACTCGCTTTTTCTTGTGGATCCGCTAACAAATCTTTTTCTAATGCATCTTTAAGAAGGTTTAAAGACGTATTAATTTTTTCCAACAGCTTATGTGTGGATTTTGCAGCGCTAACAATAGTAGAATTGATCACAGGACGTAGAATCGTGGTTCCATTCTGTAATTGGTATAATAATTGCTTTCAATGTATCAACGTAACTAACACGCATATTACTATTCTAATATTCAACAAAGTGTTGGAATACAATAATTTATGAGACATTTTATTCAAAGTGCTCACCTCTGCAATTCCTCGGGGTGCAATAACTCCGTGAGTGAGTTCAATATAACAAGAAACTATAACTAGAATCGTGTATTTCATTTCTGTCTATCGTGAAGCTGGGACCAACAGACTCTGAATTCAGTGTTAAAACAAAACACAATCGATTACAGAGAAGGCGTTTGATTAACTGTATTGTCCATTATAAATGGAATATTTTGTTATGATATTATCAAAACATCGACTATTGTTACGCTTTTGTGTAGCCAGAGTGAGGTTCTCTTATTAGAGTGTGTGACTGAGATATATTAATGGATTTCGATTTAAAGAAAAAAGTATCACAATCGCTATAGGTAAATGCATAATTACTTTGGGCGTCATTTTTCGTAAACCAAAACATGATTAATGGTGTGCGACTCGAACGTAATTTCTAAATTCTTATCATCATTTAGTAACCCAGATTTCCGGACGGTGTCTAAAAAAATGTTTCTAATTAATTTATACTTTTTCTGAAACATGCTGGCCTTTTTATTGTAACCAGTGGAGAAGGAACACACGACCAGTTGATTCTTACCCATACATTGCTATCAACGAACGTCATTCTCTAAATTATATGCAAACTCTTGTAATAAATTATTTTTTTTAATAAGACAATATTAAAGTATTCTCCGTTTTTGGAATGGCAGACATTATAGTTTATGTTACAAATAAAACAAATATAGTAGAGACTTTACTTTTTAATCACGATGTACATTTACAATTTCACTCTATAATAAAAACTTTGGATTAAACTAACAAATGAAATCATTCTTGACCAAAAATAGCCAGTACTAAGGTGTTGAAAAAGTATTCTAAATTAAAATCATATTGAGCTAACTCAGCAGCTTTGGTTTTAAAAATATCAGTCTCCCACAGCGCCTCATATAAGTCTTCCCATTCTTCGCTTCTTAGGCTCTTCCAGACATTTCTGAATTCAGTATCCTCCTCTACTTTCTCTTCTAAAATATCTTCTAATATTTCTTCTGGGAACATGTCAACTATATCGATAAGAAAACTCCTCATGGTTCGTCCAGATGCATGGTGGTGCTTAAGATCTTGCAAATTCTTGGGTTGACCGGAAGCATTTTCTTGTATTTTCTCTAAAAAGAAAAAAATATTTAATTGTTTTATCTTAAAAAAACATCCTTCCACATTTGAATATCAAACTACAAATATCTAAAGAAATATTAATGGAGAAAAAATAATATTGTCGTTATCAATGAAAAAACTAAATTTAAACCCTAAAATTATTTTAGTCACTCTAAACTGCTCTATTGTTGAACTAAGATTATTGTTAATTTTGCAATCACTTACCTGCTAAGAGATGAAACCGGTCGATGTAATAAGCAGGGAATATATTATGGCTTTTCAGGTATGCATCAGCCTGAAACAAAACATCATTACACACATACAGGGAATATCGGGCTGTCTGGCTGACGTAAGCGAGAAGAGGTTCTCGACGTTTCGCCATCAGGAGCGGACAGCATCATCAGAAGTTGTCAACTCCTCGATTGCTCAAAGATAATTGCTAATTTTTGCTGACGCCGTCCGCTTGTGATGCAACTTTTCGCACGTTGAGAACCTATTCTCGATTACGTCGGTCGGACAGCCCGAAAAATAATGATAATGATGGTCATGAAAGCCTTACACAATTTATTATACAGGGTATATACCCTGTATAATAAATTATGTAAGCATTACCATATGGTAACCTAATACATTTTAATAGATATAACGCACCGTTGCATATGCAGGCACTTCCATCAATTCTTGGAGTACATCAATAAAATCTTGATCAGCTATAAAATTTAAACTGGCTTGAAACTCTTCAAAGTGCAGATATTCATTCACAAGCTCTTCGAAATGGTTTCCCTTCAATGCTGTAATTGTGTCAACAAAATCGTCGAAGTGGTCTTGGAATGTTAACGGAAACGGTTCAATTTGTCCAAAGAGAGCCAACAGCACTGTGTCCAAAACATATCGTAGATCGAAATCATTTTCAGCCATCTCATCAACTACAGCCTTAAATTTATCATTTTCCCACAGCGCCTCATACAGATTTTTCCATTCTTCGCTTCTGAACTCTTTTACTACTCCCGAAAATACCTTTTCATTATCCATTTTCTCGTCGAACAATTCACGTAATTTTTTTCTGGGGAACATGCTTACTATATCATTTAGATATGAGGTCATTGTCCTTCCTGTGATTGGGTGTCGTAGTTTTTTCGTGATCACTGCGCTTTTTTCATCTGAAACACGAATTTGTAATGTTACGAGAGGGATGTTAAAAAAGTGAACATTTTATGCATTCAGCTATTATGAAGAACAAACCGACTAAGCGTTGAATAAGTTCTAGGTAGTAATATGCATCGACATCGATGTCCTTTAAAAATTCAAGAACCTGAAATGAAAATATTATTAGTTATAGATCTTGATTCATACTTTTATAATGGACCTCAACAGTTTACTAACAAACATTATTAGCTACGATGTGTACAATCAGGGTCCGCTTCCAAATTTTATGCAGTACGAAATGAAGTTTTACATTTATCTTTAGTTTTTAGTTGATTATACTTACAGCATTGAATTCAGCGACGTCTTTCAAGTCTTCAAACAGTTTCACGAAATCCTTACTAGCTAGGTAAGCAAGACTTCCAGTAAACTCTTCAAAACCTAAATATGATTCGGTCTGTCGTCCAAAGTGAGCACCTTCTAACTCCCGAGTCAATATCATGAAGTCATCAAAATGATCTTGAAATGAATGGCGCAACTGGGGCGCCGACATCCCTAAGCATATAAAACTCAACAATATTATAAGTTTCATTTTGAATTCGTCAATAGTTACTGAGTGGAAGATTATATTTTCGTTACATATAAAGGACGTGGCATCCTGAGGGCGGAGATAAATAATCTAGTTTATATCAGTCAAGAATTGATAACGCGCATGACTGGTCAAAATTGTATCTTCATTCATGGACCATGGGCAGCAATATCGTTTAACAAATATTTACTATTACACCTAATTTATACGAACGAATCCAAAGAAATCCTGTCTATAGTTTACGCGAGTAGTACACATTTAAATAAAAGCAGCCGTGGTCACGGGGAGACTGCTGCAAAACATCCGAAACGTCGGGCCGAAGTTAAAAATCATTTTCAAATAAGTTTAACTAATATATCGTGTCTTACACCGTTGAAGTGATTTATTTAAACAAATAAATCCTTTTAATTGCTTTCAATGTCAAGAAAGTTAAATAATAACATTCAAAAACATTGTTCAAAAGACAAAGATTTTGAATGTTATTATTTAACTGTGTTTTCATAACAAGTTAAAAACAAAAAAATGAGATCACTCATGATGATTTACGATTCAGAATCCGATTGTTGATTATCCTTTATCTTAACAATGTATGACAACATAGCTTAAAATATTTATGATATCAACACTTCAGTACTTACTAGAATATGAAAAAAATAGAGAGATATATATTTGTATAATAAAAAAAAAGAAATAAGTAATTAAATGCTTTCCACGTTGTCATTCAAATACGTACAGATTGATTTAAAAATTGAGTTCGAATTGAAAGAAATTTATGACACGGACAGAACTTGAACTGGCGACCGCAGCATTCCGTGCTGTTACTTTGACCAAATCAGCTACCGTGTCCTATAAGTCGCCTTTTTTTCGACCTATTGATACATAAACTTCTCGCGCAACTTTTTTCAATCTCAACACTCGCGTATAATACAGTAATGTGTAAATAGTACATTATGATATAAGTGCGGTAAGTTGAAAATTACAGCCGAGGCGATATTGCTATAAGAAAGCAGAGGCTGTAATTTTCAAAGCGCACGTATGTCATACGACGTTTTATAACATATTTACGAGGAAATTCATAACTAATTGACGACATTTTCAAATAAAAAAAATACAGCGAAAAGAAAAAGCGTGCGGAATTATTTTTACTTGTCCACAAATAAGCGATGGGCGCATCAACGTTTTTTTTTTAGGCAAAGGTATAAAAACAGCCAGTATTACTAAAAAAAGGAAATTAATATTTTTGTGTTTTTGTTACAGATAAATGGTCGTAATTTTAAAATTACATATTTTATTTCCCAAAGTTAATTTTATTCATAAAATATTGACCACTTCTTGAAATAAAACCTCTTTGCTAAGATTTTTAAAAGTATCGTTCTTTTTTAGACGGAGTATCTTAAAACTTTATTTAAAAAAACACGTGCCTTTTACATTACATTATCACACAAGTACGTAATGAGATACATTACGATTATGAAATTGGTGTAATTACAACCACTTTACGAGCAAATATGTTATCAAAATATTAAAGTTTTCAAACATACCTCAATACGTAATTTAAAATATTGTATAAAAACCCGCCTGTAATAATACGGTGATGTTTAAAAATGTAGGTTTTTTAAAACCTCTAACTATTTTCCTTGCTTATTAAGTGATTCTTCATTTTACGATTCTTAAATTACAAACACTGTAACAAAAATATCATTAGTAATAGGTAGTATATTATTTCTTCTCTCTCACCATTGCGGGTAGATGAAAATCACCAAACGAACATCGCTTACAATCATTGTTACTCGCAAACGCACTGTGAAAATGAGCTCTGAGAATACAAAAAAGTGCAGTGAATCAACAATAACAAGTGGGGAATCATTCATCGATGATTATTCTCATCTGCGTTTCTCTTATTACCAGGATGGAGATCCGAATACAACCCTACAATCGAATTCAAGTTTCGTCACAGCGAACGACACCATACAAACTTTTGTCAGCGATATTTCTGTGAACGAGAGGCGAGAACGTGTTGATATCCCGGAACTGCCGCACCCTGCTTTTACCATGGCGGCCATAATAGCATCTGCGTCGAATAGAATGAACGCTGGCAACATGCAGTTCAAATATGCTGACAAAATTGAAACTGCGAAAACGGAAACTGAGGCGCTCACTTTTTCTCCATCGCGCCGTTCTACTATGTGCCCTAAAAAGAAGTAATTATATTTGAAGTAAGTGAAATAAGTCTTAAGAAAAAGATAGTGGTATCGGATTGCCATTAAAATTTAAAAAATCTGTATAAGTTAACGCCTAAAATGGAATCATTATTAGCTGGGCTCTGAAAGGCAAAGTTTCAAACTCGAAAATTATTAATTATTATATTATAAAAATCTATGAATTTGTAAAACAATCTATTAAATTTATTTTTCATTTTATAGTCTGTGCAAATAAAGTTTATTTCCATTTCTTATTTTACTTTTTTTCCTAAAGATTATGTTAATGCAGCAAAAGTGAGTAGAAAATAAATTGTAAGAAATAATATAATTCACAGCCAACAAGCGTGAATAGTTTTATTGTTTAGTAATAGTGATGGCGCATCGAAAGAATTGCCTAGGAGACAAAACATATAATTACTAAAGCTAGTGATTTCCCTCGGGCCTGCTGCACTGCAGCCGAGTATAACTTTTATTCCACTTATTTAAAAAAATATGAAATTCAAAGTTTATACCAAGTTACAGCGTGAAATATTGTTTTTAATTTATTAGAGTTGCGTGTAGTACGGTTTATAGTGGATTCATTGTTGAAGTTTCATTTTACTTACATTTTGTGCTAGGTTTGCAAGACATTAATTTGATAAGTTAAACTCATATAATTTGATAACATCCCCATATTTCTATGAGATTAAAGTAAAGAAAATATTAATGTCTAAACTTACTTTTGTAACATTTTGATATTTGATTTGCAACAGTCTAAACAGGTGATTTTGAAATATTTTATTTAAATAAAACACTCTTTTTACAATTTACATTTTTTTTAAGTACGGCTCAACGTTTCGGCTGCTGCAGACGGGGATTTCATGTTTTCGCATTTCGCGTTTTAAGCCGTTCAAAAGTTTTTTTTTGAAAATTTGTATTACTCGCGTAAACTAAAGACGACTGTTAACGTTTTATTTCTTTATTATTCGGTATTCCATAATATAAGACAAAATATATTTACATTAACTTAAATCCCGTTTGCCATAAGCTCAGTATAATATAATGTCTATAATAGAGTCAGGTATAAGTTATATCCGGTATACCGATTGTGGAGCAAGTGCACTGTACCAAAATATTGTTTTCCCAGTTTCGAACTTTGGTCCTCAAGCGCTTTACGCAATGCATTTAATTTTGAGCCAAGGAGGTTGGAACCTATATTAAGGTGGGTAGATATCACGAAGGGAGACAAATTTCAATAACACCTATGCCTTGCATTTTATTTTATTTCCTCGGGGAGCTTTTATGATCATGAAAAACACTCAGTAATCCGGCTATTTTTCCGTGGGGTAACCTTAAGCAAACTGTCAAAGTAATAACCCCGGGGAGGAAAGTTTGCTTAGCGAAAAACTTTGTAACGTGTCTTTATTTCTGATTGTAACGGGACTCTGTTGTTGGCAAGGTAATGATTTTCGTAGACTTACTTTAATTTCCAGTTTTCGCCGAGAACTTTCCACGAATCGCGGTGAAATGGGAAAAATAATATCCACTTGTTATTTGTAGCGATATTTCTTTTATGGTTTAACTTATTCGGTATAGGTTATCTACTGCATTTAAGTGCTAATTTTGAATATCTGTGTCACTGCTGTTTTTGCCTTTATTTTATTATGTCAAATTAAAAGGCTGTAGATTAAATAATAAAAAATACTACTATATTTTGAAAGAAAGAAAATATGATTAATTTGAATAAAATCTGGACTTTGGTGCTCGTAAATTCGCTTTAATTTCCTGTTTTATTTATAGAAAAGAATCGTACCACGAGACCACTTGTATATTTATGTGACAGCTTACGCGCAAGAAACTTCTGTTTACAAGCAATTAAGCTGCTTGCTTGTCAAAATAAACATTACTTCTGTAGCTGCCAGGGTAAAAAACAACGTAGTTTTTTATTAGCGTCCTTCGATCTCAGGAGCTGGTCCGCCTCATCTCTGGAATCCTGAACCCAAGGCCATAATCTTGAAACATAAAAACACTCCAATCTTGGGAAGTCCCACCGGATATTACAGTTGACCTGGATTACCATAATAAGGGATGGGTACCCGAAAAAATCGCGCTACAAAATTAGCATATAGATTGTGTGCCTGAAGACAACGCAATCAATCAGCCGCTTCCAGGTAGACCTTCAGCTTTTTGCAATGCAAACAGCGTATTCTCCTTAATAAAACCTGCCTCTCGTCGATTATACGAAATATCTGTCATCCCTCGACGCCGAAGTGTTATTAAATAATCATGTTTTTTCGCTGGTCCTGAACAAGAAAATGACTACATAAAAATTTTACGTCACTTCAGTTAGTAAGAACGTGTCTGTCGCCAAATGGCTAAACGTGTTAGTATGGCATTAAGCGCGAGAGATCCTGGGTTCGAATTCCAGGGAAAGAATAAACTGTTTCGGTCGGGCAAAGCATAGAAGTCTTATTCTAAGTCTTTAACAATACCTTAATTAAAGTAACAATAGATATTTAATAAGTCAACCATCACCAAACATCAAAAAATTAAAAAGTAGTTAAGTGTATCCCAGTCTGTACATTACCGGAAGTTTCAAACCAAAAAATAAGATTAACAGTATGTTAATTAGACGTTATATTTAATATTATTAGTTTATTTCATCTTTCTTGAACTACAAGCTTTATTGTCAAAATCTTGGATTTATAATGTTTTTGATTGTATTGTCATCTAAATTAAATGAGTATACCAAATTTCAGATCAATCTGACAACGGGAAGGTGCTTCAATTTCAATTTCTAATTTTGAAACAAATAAATTCCGTACGGGTCGAGCTAAATAAAACTGTTTAAAAAGAACATTAAAGTATAAATACCATGAACCTAATAAAATCTCATTCCCGTAACAGTAATTGTTATAGTCACATCAAACTTAGACAAGTGTTGCATTGCTGTATACGAAAACATCAGCTAAATGCATACCTATCATTGTCTTTCGGCCGATGTGAGCGAGAAGAGGTTCTCGAACAGCCCGAAAGACAATGATATGCTGAACGATGGCCGTGAAAGCCTTACACAATTTATCAGCTAAATGAATCAGTGAATTTCAAAAGAATTTCGGTACATGTTAATTCGAGTCTCACCCAGGCTGTTACGTCTAGATATCGTTACGAGGAACCGATGGAGCGTGTACACCAGTTTTGGCAAAATGCAGTGCGGAGTGTGGAACAGAACCTGAACCAAATAGGATACAGACAGAAACTCCGTTTTGTTAACGGTGTTCATATTGCACTGGCATTCTGTACCAATTTGCAGTGTAAGTGGAGTGGAGCATATATAAGTATCTGTGTGTACACAGTACTGTATAATAACCTTGTAAAATTGTCCCGCATTATATTAACTTTGTCGCCGCGTCAACAAATCACTTCAACACTGTCTGTAGTTTACGAATGAAAAAAGAAGTAACTTATTAAGTACTGTCTATAGTTTACGCGAGTAGTACACATTTAAATAAAACACTTTAACGGTTTAAAACGCGATATATTAGTTAAAAATCATTTTCAAATAAGTTTAACTAATATATCGCGTTTTAAACCGTTAAAGTGTTCTATTTAAAAGTAACTTATTATTTAATTTAAATTTAACATTCAATTATTACCTACACACAAAAAACGATTTATTAACCCAACTACGACTTAAATCTGAATAAACAATTTAATTATTATTATTTATAAAAAAATAGCTACCAAAATTATAGAAATCCATTTCTATATTATAAATAAAAAGTTAAGTCATGCTTTGATTTATAAAGTCCAAATCAATCAGCGCATATCAATGCAACCACTATACACACCTTTTATTTCTATCGCCTGCTTGATAAGGTGTTTCTGATGACATAATCTCGGCTTTTAAAATAATAATGCTAAAAATTGATGACTCTCTCCGATAACAAAGTAACATAAATAGGAAGCTAAGTTAAGCGAAATGCTCTGGGTTTGAGTCTTAGATGAAAAGGGATTTGTTAAAAAAATACACTTTAACGATTTAAAACGCGATATATGCTTCGGGGACACTTCCCGTGATATACATCGCTGCTGCAAAGCATCCGAAACGGGCCGTGATTAAAATTATTTCAAAATAAGTTTAACTAATATATATTGCGTTTTAACCCGTTTAAGTGTTTTATTTAAATGCGTATAGTTGTGTATTGTAATCGCAAGAGAAATAAATAAATTCCAATTTCATACCGTTATAAACTTTTCAATAAAAACACACTAAAATTCTAATAAGAATGAGTTCATCGTACAAATATAATTCTCAGTTTCACGTCTATTCGTGTTGATCGACGTGTAATGGCCTAGGTCATAGATAAAAGCGTTTCCGCTACTCAATCAACAATCTACTGGGTGCCGGCATCGTGTGGCAGCAAAATCGATATTGGATAGGTAAATCTACTTTATCGCCACTTAAGAACCTACAGCGATATGCGAAACCATTACAATTCTTTTGTAGATGTATGAATTACAAAGACCGAATGTGGATTAAATCGAAGCCGAATTTCCTCTGGACTACAATGAAAACAATCGAACCGAATTTCGGCCATTAAAGTTATTATTTTCTTACTAAGTTAGGTACTGCTTATTTTATCAATTCAAATTATATAATTGAAATAAAACATTTTAACGGTTTAAAACGCTAAATATGTTAGTTAAACTTGCTTGAAATTTCTTTTTAACTACGGCGTGCACGCCGCTTGTACAGCCGTGGTCACGGGGAGACTCCCAACCACGGCTACTGCAAAGCATCCGAAACGTCGGGCAGTAGTAAAAACAATTTTCAAGCAAGTTTAACTAAAATATATCGCGTTTTAAAGCGTTAAAGTGTTTTATTGAAATGTGTACTACTCGCGCAAACTACAGTCGGTATTAAATTATATAATTGTTGATTTATATTTATAAAGAACAAAAGGAAAAATCGAAGGAGGAATCGAAGCATATTGTGTTTTTTACTTTCTGCTGAGACAAGTCTTCAAATTTATATAGGTCTTTATAATGAAATAAAAAAGACGTATAAGATTTACATGACTAATTTTAATTCTCTAATATTTTTCACATAATATATCAACGTCTACACTATTCCAAAATTGGTTTTCAAAAAACCGTATTCTCATATTTATTGCACTTTAATAACTAGCTAATGTATCTTAATTTGTACTTATATATTTTCTAGCACACACACAGTGACAAATGTGTATGCAAATACATAGACTATATTGAAATGATACACACACACAAATAAGGCCCTTCCGTATCCATAACACATAGGTGCCCTTTACACTATTGTCTAACAATAGAGTATTTCAAAATACAGTGTAAACTCCATGTAATGTCACTCTATTTAACGACAAACTCTCTTAAGCGTCGAAATTAATTGGCTTTGGTTGGTTTAGCTTGTTTTTCATACAATGTTTCTTCTCTCCATTTAACGACAACTCTCTATAACGCCATAAAATGCACAGTCCCTTCAGTGTCGCTATATAGAGTTTACACTGTACTTTGTTAATTATTGCTTGCAATATAATCCAAGATAGATTGAGAAAAACACACACCTATAAAAAACAAAGAGAAGTGTTTGCCTTCATATCTTTTTTTTTATCTATTTGTCGCCAGATGCCAACTCCGTGGTATCCTTCCTTGAAGCAATTAAAAGTGTCTGCAAAGCCGAATATATAACTTCCAACATCATCAGCCGTGGTTTTGTGTACTGTAACAAAGTTGAACTTATGTACTCAATTATAAAGTTCCTTGAAAACTATAATGGTTTATGGTAATACAAAGATTTTTTTTCAATAAGATATAGTACCCTGTTAGTAGCGCAAATGTGGCATTTGCTATCATTTATTTGGCATCATACTATTAAAGCTTCAACATTACAAAAAAATCAGTGGACACATAACATAAGGGCATACAGTATGTATAGTGGATTTTTCCTTAAGTAGCTGTAGAATAAATAACACACATGGTATATGTAAAATACAAACCTTAAATAAAGGCATTAATTTGATTTGGTGTGCTTCTTCATGATTCCCTGTCTTGACCAAAACAGTTAGGTAGTATAGAACCCTGTTCTGAAAAACAATTGGAATATATAATGCAGAAAAACTGCTTTGAATAAATTCTAAAATGATTTATATTTATTAGTTTTATTGTAACTCAATGTTTCAGGTTTCAAATTAAATAATGTTGTGAATATTCTATTAATACTTTCTGACTGAACTTAAGTTTTGATATGTGAATACATTCATGCACATCGCCTCCATGCCCTAATGTTTAATTACAGCACAAGGTCCTGGATTTTTATCCTCCGTAAACAGAAAATCCTTTTAGTGTGACAGTACACACAAGTTAATCAAATAGATGCAGATATTTGCCTACCCTGTGTGAGGAAAACAGGAATATACTCTTCACATGCATGTACTTACAAACTTAATAACTTCATTGATTATTATATCATCAATACTATTCCATGATACAAAGTTGTCCTCACTGCCTACGACAAATTTGACTGAACTTTGTATGCCAACTGTTGGTATCACATGAAGTGTTTCTGCAAAAAAATGACTATCAGAACTGTCATCAACAAATTCACTGACTTTGCATTGCATTATTTTAAGTGTTGGAGGCCCTAGGTTCTCTCTCAACTCTAAAATTACAGGGAAACATTTTTTGGTTTTAGTCCTGTCTCTCTAGTGAAGAGTGCATTTAAGAGCCACAAACCTGATTGAACTGTGTGCGTAACCCAGAAGAATATCAAGAAAGACATTACAATCGCAATAATTGATATAGCTGTGAAACTTATTTGTACATAACTCAATGCTATGATGTTGAAAATGATTGCAAATACAAGAGTTTTCCATGACCATTTAGACGATTTCTGTCCCTTATTGTTGTAAGATACGACAAAACGTTGTGATATTGGCGAGCTACTTCGTTTTTCAACTTTAAGGGAAATACTGAATCCATTTACATTTCTATGATCTACAACAGTTTCATCGCAAGACATTGTTATGTTTTATTGTGTGCTCTCAACCATTTATAACTTCATCTCTCTAGGTGTTTGTTTATTTTATTTCCTGCAAATTCTCCATACATTATGCTGAAATAAGAAATTCATTAATATTACTGTAAAAAGTTAACAAACAATGCCTTTAATATGTATAAAAGTAGTGTTAGTAGTGCAGTAGTAGCAGTTTTTTTAACGTAGAGCTAGATTTTTTTACCTCTTTTAATTATAAATAAATAAGAATTAGAAACTGTAGGACATAAAAAATATTTGAATATGTAAACAACTAATGCAATTCCATCGATTCCTTAAAAATCAAAACAATGCGCGAACCGTTAAGTCAACTGTTAGCCATCAATGTCAAGTGTCATTTATTATCCGCTCTCAGTTGAAGCTGTCAAATTCCATTGTCAACTTTTTAAAACAACTACCCGCCTACTTTCAAATACAACAAGTGCAGTGGAAATCATAAAATACAAAAAATAAACCTCTTTGACGTTTAAAAAACTACTCCTCTTACCTCATTTTTTCAGCATACTTTATTAGATTAAAGAATGGTTACTCAATGTGAAGACCGGACATAACAAATGCATTTGTTCAAAACATTGTCATTTATGTAGATGACATTGTTTTGAGCAAACAGATTTTTCCTTTATTTTCGGTACTCGAAAAATACTGCATATCCGGTTACCATAGCAACCTGGACGTAAATAATGTTATGATATCAGTATTGTGTCAAGGTTAAAAAATCTTGTTCGTGCTTTGTTTTGGAATAATAAAACAGTAGCTATTGAATATCCTATAGCTATGGACAATAACGCTTGGGTATTTGATTCCTTGGTTGGTTTCCTTCATGGCCCTGTGTGGAATGTTCCTCTACAAACATTTATAGAGGAGAAATCACTGCGTACGTCATTTTCTTTGTTTAAATATTTTAGCGTAATTTACTTCGTCATTCTTATTTGCTCACTGTAATATTTTTCTCTTTGCAAGCTTTTGAACCGTCTGACGATGGAGAAGTTATAGACAGACCTGATTACAAGAAGATCCACGAAGAATACAGAAATTTGGTTAGTTACATTTTATGCAATTTTTTTCGCCCTTATTATTTTCTATTGGGGACACCCGTGGCGGGACGGGTGATCAGTCCACGTTATCCGCCGACCATTTCACCCATAATTGTTCGCCCTTAAGATATAACTTAAGGTATACAAAAAAAACTATACAACCAACTAACATAATATATAGCGCGTAAAAAAACTAGCTAAGCTCTCTAGCTTATTGAAAAAGGTTTTTTAAAAATTATCGTGACAAAACGAAATATTTTCACGAACACTGGGAAATTTAATCGCCCTTATCACTTTATCAGGTGGACGTGATGCTCGGTTCGTTCATGGATGACATCGGCATCTCAGCTGATCAATTCGAAGCAGCGTGTCGGCTATCAGCAAACGATTTAGCTGGTCTCCCCACATATTTCCACAAACGCCTCTTTGAACAAATATGGGCGGCTAACGACTACGAAATGTTTGTCAAAATGATGACACACAAAAACGTGGAACTGCAGTTGCAGGTATCACAATAAATGGGCCTTAAAAAAAGGAATCTACAATTTACCTTACATAATAACCTCAATACCTAACAGTGGTTAAGTTTGCGCTCATCATGTATACTTTATGTATTTTTCAAAGTCACATATGCTTCAAGGAAATGGGTATCAAGAATATAGATATATAGATCAAGGAATAAGTATTACCCAAACAAATAGTTCCGTTGTCTTCTTAAAGTAACAAAATTCAACAGCAAATATAAGCCATAAAGTAAGTTGATGCGATTCAAATTTTTTTAATGAATTATTTTTCACAGGCCCTGGATCTTATCGAAAAAACATATGGCACCATGCCAAGTCTATTTTCCGTTAATGCCGAAGACCTGGATTCATCACAAAGTGATGAAAGTGCTGACTGGCCGGATAACGATGACGTGATGATTGAAATTAAAAAGTATGTCCTTAAAACTCTTATAATTACAAAAGTTTAAAGCAGACCTATTAAGACGAGGGACCACTCGGCCGAATCATGAACTAATGGCGGGCCGCGAGAAGGATTGGTAGTTTAAGACAATAAAGAATTGAAAGTAATGTATTAAAATTGGGAAAGAATGTATTAATTTGAGTATTATTTTTGCTGTCAACGGGGCACCAGTATTTGACCGATGGGACTTGGGAGGTATACATTACATTACACATTACATTGTGAAATCGTAACGCTTGTGAAGTTAAATAAAGTAAAACCTTATATTAAAGTTATAAATTATTTTATTAAACGCAAGTTTTTTTACATCGGATTGTGAAGTCAAAACAAGGGATAGTACAAATCAACGTAATGCAGTGTTAGGTACTGTAATGTATCCAACATTATAAAGAAATATTTTTATTGATAAAGGTGAAGTGTACTCGAACCACAGATGTTTTTACTTTACAACTCTAAGCTTAATATTAGTTGCTTATAACACAGATTACAGCTTGAAGATTTAGGAACAGATGAGGTCGCTGTCCCCCCTGAAGAGGTGATAGCTGAAAAGCAAACTCTATTGTCGAAACTACACAGCTTTGAAAAGAAAGACGAACCCGTGCCAGTCGCAACCAAGATAGAGAAGTCTACCGAGCTTCCCGTTGTAAGCTTACCTAAAAAAACTGAGGTAACTAATACTTTTATTTCTCACAAAAAGATTTTGTTTTCATTCGTAATGGTTATTAAAAATCAGTAAATTAGTCAACTCAGTGTCAATATCTAATGCGCTGTCGATCTATTTCTGAATTAGGCTTTCGCGTATTGATATACTGAAACCGTAACGGAAATATAGAACACTGTGGCCTCCTTCCGTGGACATTCACCATCAACATTGATAATTTTTTAAAGATTTCAAATAATCTGATGATACAGGTTTCCGAGGAAGAGATAAAGGTGCGCCAAGAATACTTAAAACAACAACGAGATAAGCTACTAGCGCTGAAGAAACAGGTCCGCGAAAAACAACTTGGCGCCGAAACTCAGGCGCTATCTGGCGGTAAGTATGTAGTTCGAATTAAACCTAATTCAAAACAAAAAAAAACAAAACGCTAGAGATTACAGCCCGAATATTATTTTTGACTTAATATGATTTGTATATTGTTATGAGCTATCAAAGCTCTGTGTTTTTTAATAGCAAATAAGATTGCCTCCTTTTTTGTTGTTAATCTTCAGCTATTTGCTAACGATACTGATAATGATAAATTAAAATGTTTCATTTTACAAAGGCGGTGAAGGTAGTGCGAAAGTTCAAAGGCCAAAATCGGCTCGTATGGCCCAGGCCGCTTTGTCCGGATCCGCGCCGCACCCATCACCCGATGCCATGCAACTGAGAAGAGCCCTCGCTTCAAAACTGAAGACAGAAGTGGTAGATAACTCCCATTAGTTCCCTCAATTATCTAGTTTAATTCAAATATGTTCATGTATTTTAGCTAAGGATTGAGAAAATAAATAACGCCCGTTATATGTATCGTATTTTCTTATATTTATATTGCTTACGTAACTAGTGACATCATAATAATAGTATTATTATAAGCTTATTTATTTTACACGTCTCGCCAATATTTCTATTATAAATTTAATTTTGTGTATAAATTAGTTTACGATGGTCACCCATCTATACAGATAAAAAATAGTTATCGTTACAGCCTACGTTTTATCTAGATTTTTTTTCTGTATAACAACCGACGGTAAGTTATTTCAAGGAATATAATAACTAATTACAATTCTAATTGACAGCTGGTAGCTATGTAGACACGTGGATCATGACAGTACAAATAACGCAGTACATAAAACAGTATTTACAATTCTGACAAATTTATCATTCCACGTCTGTACCAATTTTTTCGTCTCGCATTCGCTGTGCACAAGGAATTTTATATAAATACAAAAATTAAGTATAACCAAGCGATCGTTAGTGCTCTATTGTTTTTATTTTATTTAAAAAACCGAGATCATGTTTCAAGAATGATATGTTATCAGATAGATACTGTATAGAAAGTGATCGGTTATTACGAAGGAAGAATTGTAGACAACACTAGGACAAACAATACAATTTCACACAAAGATTCGTGGATACATATTCATACGCAAAGCTCTTGCGTTAATTTGTCTAAACTATTTCACCCGATCAAATTCGCTGGTCCTGTGATAATATTGCACTAAACCAGCTCGTCCATTTAAATATTTACGTCAATATTAAAAAACTAGTATCTCGATATTAGCCGCAATTGATTCGGTTAATATAAAGACATCGTTGATTCCAAATCAAACTATCAAAGCTTTGACTAAATCATTATAATTTATACGAAAATAAATTAGAATAACTGTTTCAACGGGTATCTTATACAAGATAATCCTATTAGCTAAACATTTATCGCCGAACCACGTTGCAATAAGTTATAACCCGCAATTTTCTGAAAGCTGCGGATCACAAAACCATAAGATATACAAAATTTACACTCCGAGGGTAGGTACTGATCAAATGCTAGTGGTGTAATGTAACGTTGGTCTCATCGTAAAATACACTCTTACGATATATATATGATAAGTAAGCAATTTATCAGTACCTAACTTAAATCTTTTTAAAAGACTATGTCTGATAAACGGTTTTATCAAACATAAAGTAACGCTCGATACATTTGTGAAGAAAATTAAAGAAATGAATTCCCACATCAATAATTATTAAAATCATCATACTTTTCTGCACAACTATTGTTATGTTGATAAAAATACACAAAATAAAGTTGAAATATGTTTGTACCTTGCCACAATACATGATGTATTGACAGATTAAGATATAAAAATGAGTACATGGGTGGAACACTCTTTTAAAATTATATTTTCTTCATATCTAGAATACATTTTTCGTATGCAATGCTACCTATACAAATCATTAGTAAATAAGAAGTAAATCTTATATAAATGTATACATTTATATGTTTCATATTGGATAAATATTTGCTTGGAGCCCGTGAATAAATTACTGATAATATTTTTCAGTGCTAATATTGCGATATTTGTTAATTATATGCACATTGGACAATTTCTAAAACCATTCGTTTCGGTAGATGTTTTGTAAAAAAAAACAACTTTTTTTTGATACCAAGATATCTATGGTAGTTCCCGAAGTTTTAAGCAATACCTTCATGAAGGATGTGACGTCATTAACTAATTTCTTGGAAAAATGGACCAACTGAAGACAAGGAAAACCTAGAATTAAGCTTTATATTTATCTCAACTTTATAAAGAGTATATAATAATTATTTTTCAGTTCATTAATGTTTTACAATGATATCTACCATAACAGTTCGCTTTAGACAATCGTTTTTGTGCAACTCAACAGTAATACATTAAAAATTCAGCTACAAATAATTCCAATCAAATCTAAGTATTGTTGGTCGTTTACATTATTCCATGGGAGATGTATAAGTGTAGGAGGAGACCCAGGCTTTGAAAGGAGTAAAACAACTTCAGGTCCATTGAGTGAGGCTAAATTGTTATGATACAAATGTGATTGTTAGGCACTTAACTGTTTATTGAATATGAAATTGTTCTAACAATCTATTTGTAGTCAATAGGGAATATGCATACAAATTAAAAGGCGTCCGATTTCTTTATAATATTGAACTAATTATCATCATATATATTTATCAAAAACTTAGCAATCCTTTCCCACAGCTGGGACTTGGCTCGCTCACAATCTACTACACTGGGCCAATGTGTGTAAATGACATGTCAAATAATATTCTAGCACATGACGCTTTTTAAATGTTTTACAAAAAGCTTGTAGTACTTTCAAGTACTTGTTTTACTCATGCATATTTCCTATTAAGTTATTCAGTGTCCACTAGTATTCATCTTCCATGGCTTTTACATTATACATGCATCGCGTCCATTCTTCGTTCACCTTCACTAACTATATATATTAATCCCACTTATGTTTTCTTTGTACTTTAGTCGATTACAAACCGGAGGATGTCACCTAACCGCTTATGTCACAATCTGTAACCGATATTTGTTCTATGTTCTCAAACCAACTGGTTCCTATAAATGGAACATACCTATTTCCTCTGGATAAAATAGGACGTTTTATAAGAGCAATAACTAAACAGCCTTGTTGAAATAAAAAAAAATCAATGAATTTCAGTATTACTTTGATCTGGAATCAATTTCACCGAGAAATAATAACATTGATAAAACTTAACAGACTGTTGAAATTTCTTGGTTAGACTTGTTATGGCTTTACAGCGAGACAAACTTCAATACTTGTAGTAGTTAATTGCATCACCTTATCTAACTTAGCCGGAATTTAAGAATTTAAATCTTCACGCCAGAGGTCATAAGTTTGGCCCATATACAACTCTACGCATAAATTTTTCACTTCAACTAATGACAGTACAACACTAGGTTGTCACTTGTATTTACATTATAATGAAAAGCAGTGTAGGCTTATGTGAGAAATAGTGGTACAAGGTTCATTCACGCAACAGTTTCCTAGATAATTTTTAGTATAACGCGTTATGGGAAAATAAATTATAATTGCGTTTTCTGAAGTACAGAACCCGTACCTTGCAGTTTCTCAGATCCGATTCTCCCAGAAATAATAACATTGAAGTTAACCGGCCGTTAAATCGAAAAGTATTGTGTGACGTTTGATAGCTTTCTTCTTTCTTAATCTTAGTCATTATTCCTCGGTAAATCGGCTCGCAGACATAAGACCTGACCCGTTTAAGGGGCCGAAACTTAGTGTCGAAATCACTATAACCTTAAATTAGCCAAAATCTAATCGACGTACACGCGTACACGACTCGTTTTAAATATCACTACGCGATTATATACAAATTTATATTCGGCAATTATATAAATGAAAGATATTTCAAATATGGCAATCCCGTTATATTTCATTATCGATAATTACGAAGTCGTGAAAAGTACTTTGTGATCGGTCACAATTCCGGTGCAACTCCAAATAAAAATAATAACTTCAAATGAATTCGCGAGATTATCACTCATTCTGTACACATAAATATACTTTAAAGTTTACGCGAAATATAAAATATAATAATAGCCGAACGCGCTTACGTGGTTTTGTTCGTTAAATCGCTTTATGGACAATAGCAGACCAATACCATTTACGTACTTGTTCATTACATTAATGTACTTATGTACATTTTCAATCCTTAAGGAATTAAATGATGTTACGATTGTAAAGTACTGGTACAGTAACCGTTACAACAATAAGGCTTGGCATATACTAGCAAAATCAATTACTATAGGTGCAGAAAGTGTTAGAAATTATATATTTTTAAACAATAAAAAATTTGTACCACATTGAATGGATTAGCCTGTCGATAATCGAGTCGAAAGGCGATTTATTGTAGTTTATTAACATCCAACGGGGGTCATATTTTATCTTTAGATATAAATCGAGTTTCAACTTGTTTAAACCAGTTCTTTGGTTACAATATTAAGTTTTAACGAAGAAACTCGCGCGGCGTTCGAGAGTGCAAAATACACTATACAAGAGGGGCCTTACGATAAGCACAGGGGTGCGAGACTCTGTTATATTCCTTGAAAAACTGGAGCGTTGGCGCACTACGCGAGGCGAGGTCGCTTCGCATCGCGTTCTTCGCTTGCCCCGCTGGTTCCGCTCCCGCTCGTCCCTCCACCCTCCTCTTCTTCGTCAGAATCGCCATCGTAGTCAACGAGCCCCTATAATAATGATCAAATGAATATCAGAAGATAGGCGTGTAGGATCAGTCCAGTCTCATATTAATTTATTTGAAAACATTAAAGTATTTAAATAAAACATTTAATCATTAAACTTATTTGAAAATTATTTTAATTACGACCCAACGTTGCAAATAAGTGTAGCTAATATATATCGCGTTTTAAACCGTTTTATTTAAATTACTCGCGTAAACTAGACAGAGTTGACAGACATGCAAGTATCAAACTTTGATATTTTTTCGCAGCGATCCGTGCTGCTATTCCAACCACCACCGTAGCAAGCAGAAATTGTTAAGTAAGCAAAACCTTTAAAGACCCTGCAAAGCTTTACTAAACGTTACGTTATTTAAGTAACGCTATGAACAAATATCACCTGCACAGAGCAACAAAGGCATATTGTTCTCTCCAAGCATACTCGAATTAGCAAAGCTTCCCTTACACCGTAGCTTGATAGCCCGTAGAGGAAGAGGTATCTAAATTACCTTATTGAGTAATCTGGGCGTGGATACCTGAACGTCGGTGTGTGCCGGCTTAGCGGGCGCAGCGCTTAGGAGCACCCGACTCGGTCCGTTCACGGTCTCCGTGCTCGGGCACACCTTTTTCTCCACTATTTTACCTGCAACACATAACATTCCACATATAACCGCTTACAGTTTCTTCTTTTTTTATTGCAATATTACCTAATATTTAATTCATTTTTATAGCTTTTATTTACTTAATTTAGGTTCGAAATACCTACACTAGATCTTTATGTATGTGTTAGACAGACATAGCCTTTTTTCTGCCCCAGAGCATGAGGCTCTAGCTTATACCACAACAGTAACGAGTAGAAAATAACTTCCAACACCTACAATTCTAAATTTAAATTTAACTAACCGATTGCATCAAGCGCATGATGCGCATGCGCATGCGTTTGGGCCGCGTCTAAGGGCGCTTCGTCTTCCAACTCGTCCTCATCGTTGAACCACATCTCTTCTTCGTCATCTGGCTGCCGCGCCTCTCGACGGTACCTCGTACGCAAGAGAGAAGGAACAACCGCTTCCGCCACACCCACACTACCGCTTACTGTAAAATGAATTTAAAAAATTGTGATCGATAACATTAGATTCGATAAATTAAATATAATAAAATTAATGTTATTATGAACCAAAATAAATAGAATAATAAGCCTATATAATTCGAGTTTAAGCAATAAAATTTACAAAGTAATAAACTCTACAGTTCTGAATTCAATTGAAATTCCAGTTCATTCACAAGTTACAACATAATTATCTCTCAAAAACAACTTTAAGACCTTCAGTGGGCATTCATTATACAATAATATTAAGGTCAAAGCTTTCAACTAAGTCCAACCATAACTAGTTAGTGGATACTTAACCAAACTTTGTATATATTTTTTACCTCCACTGCAATATTTTTGAATTCATGTTTCAGTGAAACCACGGTTAGAAGGATTCAAAAAGTTGTATCTGTATTTGGATTCGGGCATCTACTTAAATAGTGTTGTATCACCGGTTAAGAATGTCGGATCCACCTCATATATAGTTTTGTGTTGAAAGATTGGTCTAACCTCTGTCTCTCTCCTTTAATTTGTCTTGATGTTGGTCGTACCGCGTTTTCAACGCTTTAAAAGTCTGTACGTATTCGACGTCTTCTAAAATTTTGCCATAGTTCTCTACAACGTGCGAACACAAGGACTTGATGTCCTCCAGTTTGATGAACTCAAATAATTCTAAAATAGCTGAATCTAATAAATTATACCTGAAAATGTATATAAGGAAAATCATTATCAAAGTAATTGCATGTCTTATATCGTAAGTGATTAAAGAACTCTACTAGATCTCAAGAAAAAAAGAGTTTGTTAATTTTAGATAGAAAAATAATAATTACCTTCCATTATTCCTAAGAAACGCATCTATCACTGGTGAAAATAGGTTGCCTTTTATTATATAACGATTATAGTACTCATCCTTGAGTGCAATGATTTTCCTCATAAACCTTAATGCACCGAGGACGAGAAACGTGTGCGTCGATCGCATCAATACCAAAATGCGACGTAGGAGATCCTGTAAGCCAAGTTAAGCAATAACAACTAAGAAAATCCTTATGGTATATTTAAAATAAAGTCGAAAATAGAGAATTATAAAAATAATCTCTTTTTTTATTAAATGTGATTCTAATATGAAGCCTTTTACATATTACATAACACCTATAGTAACATGCGTTTTCTTAATAATTCAAACAATGTTACTGTTTTCTGCTTTTATCACAGGTTTTTAAGTGTCATTAAGGATTAGTTCAGCTTAAGCTTTTTCTTATCTGATATTATATAATAAATTAAATAATTTCATAATTACCTTATTTAATATACAGGTCTTGATATGGTATGTGTGATGTTCAACACAGAATGAGAGCAGCTCCAATACTAAACCTAGCAACTGTACTGTGTGATAGTCTTCTTTGAGGGGCTTTTCCCCTGTTGTATTATCTAATAAGGGTGCTGGAATGAATATGATTTACAGTTACATACATATCTCAACACCACAGAAAATTTTGGCAAGTAATACTTTGAAGATGTCTTGCATAAATTTAATGTATGATTGACTGCTTAACAGTCAGACTCTTAAAAGCTATTCTATTCATAAGCATAAGCAAAATTAATGAGAGTTTTTATATTTATCGGAATATAAGGAACTTGTCAGTCTATCAAACAATTTAATATAGATGAAATTATAGTATGGAAAAGGGTAGCTATTACATATACAACTAAAAATTTTAAACTATATAATTAATTTACCTATTAATGTTTGTATACTGTGTTTGTAGAAAAAATTTAGGAAGTCAGCTTTTTCACTCTTATTAACAGAAGCAAGCATACTCTCTGGGTCCAAAAGAATACGTAACACTCCCATTAATTGAACAGCTCCGCCCAGCTCCGGATCTCTATCCCTTAGCATTTGTTCTATCACAATGTTTAAAAGCATTTGCTCCTGAAATATTTGTAAAATTTAATCGAGATATGAGAGAGAGAGAGATATGATTAAGAATTGTGTTGTAATTTTGTGACAAATACAATATAAATAGACAAAGAATACATATAATTTTTTTAAGAAATTAAATTTAATAAAGAAACATCTAGAAGCAATTTCTCAGAATGAAAACTATGTTATCCTTAAGAATTTAATATTTCTATGAAAAAGATCTCAAGACGATTCATACCAATTAGTAAACTATATAAATATTATAAGTAAAAAATTCATATTGGGTTAAGAATAATAAAGTTACCTCTTCTGTATTATTTGCTTGCTGTAATGTGTAATCTCTCACCACTGAAGGTGAAAACTCAACTATATATGTCAATATGTCTATAGAAGCAGTCTTCGTCTTCTGATCGTCTATACTTAGCGTAATTTCTAAGGCTGGCAGGATCCCCAATGAAACTAGTGTCTTATAAAAGGCATCTTTGTCTTGTGGCTGTAGATTTTGTGAAAAATTACAAAACTCCTTTAAAAATAGAACTAAATCTCGCCTCTTGACATCTGGTGTCTTATCATCCATAAGTAACTTAAATAAATCTGTTAAAAATCTTTCATCTTCTTCTATTAACTTCACTATTTCTACCTTATTGAAAAATATAAAACTGGACAGTGTGCTTAGCAGATTATCTTCAAATACCGTGGGTGTGGGCAATACAATATCTTGAATGTACTGTACTCTGTAGGTCTGATGAATTTTGGCTAGCAGGTCTTTGTTCTTAATAGGAATGGCTTCACGGAATTTGGCTAGCTCTCTCAAATATTCTCTGTGTTTTTTGGGCTGGGGCAAACTGGGGTCATATTCTAGACAACCGACGACATCAAATATTGTATCATCAGAAAACATTGTTTCAAACAGGGTATTTTTGTTTAAGAGGAAAATGCTTTTGAATATCTCAAAGAGGTGATGCAATCCTTCGATATTTTCAATATCTTCACACATGTGAAAAAGGTTAAGTAGCTTTTTAATGTAATTGTGACTCTCGAGTGCTGCTGCTAATTTATCCTTTCTTGCGGGTGAAACAAGACAATTGTTGACCAATTCACTTATGTCCTCTAAACGGCCCATTTCACATGCAGGCAATTCCACTGGCTGAACACTATCAGACATCTCATCATACCTTTCATCTTCAGATTCTTCTACAATGTCTTGTGTTATTTCAACCGATGGATCTTTGCCTTGAACCTAAGGAAATTATTACATCTATATAATCATACAATATACTTTCAAGCAAACATCTTTAAATCACTCTTAACATTGACATTACCAAAATGTGCTGGTTATTGTTAAAACTAGGATTTTGCATAAAACAGAAAGCAAGGATATTAATAATATGCAATGACTAATAAACGAATTTATAGGTAATATTAAAAATATATAAGGCTTATTATATTATCTTAAAAAGTATATTTCAAGAAGACTTACCTGACAAATTTTCTCCCATATTTCATCACACCCAGCTTTCTCTTGAAAACTTAGTGCTAAATCAAAGTTATCACCTTCCGACCATACTATCAAAGTGTCCTGCTGCTTCTGATATGCTGTATCGGGTTGTATTTTACTTTCTAGTAATAATGTTCCATCAGATTCTGCTCTCACCAATAAAGAGGTACCTTTTAACCTTTCAACATAACAAGAAGACACATGACCTGTCCCTCTATCGTCCCACTGCCGGTCAGCGTTTAGAGCGTAAAGCTTTACTCTTCGTCTAGTGTCAGTCATGATATTAGACGCAACTACAAAAATGTTCTCAAGCCTGTTGTGAATCACGTATTATGGCGCTATTCATATGCACCGTGTTTTTTAATTATTTAACTCCCATTTGTAAGAAAACATATGACTCCTGAAACAAAAACATTAAAAATAATGAACACATAACCAAGTAATCGCATATAGATATTATTATACTCATAATTACTATAATTACATTCCACTCTCGGTTCTTCACAAAAACACAACATTGCGCGTTATTATATTAACGTATACATTGAGAAAATACGCTTGCTGATAAGCATAAACGTAAATATCATAGGGTCTCATTAAAATTTTGTACGACAGTGCTCACTAAATTATCGGAAATTACAAACAAAACAATACAATCGTCAGACTTTCACCACACTTTCATAAACCACAATATAACTTAAACTAAACCATCAAAACTGTTTTGTATTTAAACTGCATATAAAACAAGATATTTACCGGGATACACATTACAGAATCGTCAAATTGACGTACCTTCAAAATATTAAAACATCAGATATCGCCATATTGGATTCACAACAACGCTTCGAATTCTGGGGTTCTCAAATTAAATTAATGTTGGCGGTAAATTCAAACTTGTCTCTAAAAATATTCAAGAAATTAATAAATTTTAAAGGTTTACTTAATTCATAAACTTAAATATTTGAATTTCACTATAATTAAGTTAAATGATAACGATAAATATAAAATGAAGGCACTAAATAAATATATTTTCAAAAGAAGAGATGTAAACTTGAAATTGTATAATGGTAGCACTTACTATTAGGTACCAATAGAAAAAAAAATAAAAACATAATAGCCAATGAATGGCTTTGACAGCATAACATTATCATTGCTATTTAATAAAAGTTCTTTTACTTTTTAAATAAACTTAAGATATGTATGTTTCAAGTACCATCAATTTATGTATTTAATATTGTTAATAAAGTTCGTGGGTAATTGTTATCTATGATGTGAGTAATAACTTTAATACAGACGTTTAAAATTTAGAAAGCTTTCTTTGTAGTACAAAATATTTGGTTTAGTAAGAAATTATTTTTATACAAAAATGGTAGAAGATTTTTAACAAACAACTATAAACTTAAATGCACAATAGATAATCATTCTGTAGTGAAAGGCAAAGATAATATAGCAACATTGACATATGTTGTCAATTGTCAAACGTCTGATGTTTTATGTTAATTGTTATTGAAATTAGTTTTCAATAATTTTTACAACAAAGCTTTTTGACAAAAAGATTTTTCTGTGTAATATACGCTAAATAATACTGTATAATATTCAACACTAAGCATTATTAGAGGTAATTTACTACAAAGCATTAAAGCAATAAAATAGTTACTTCTTAAGGCGCACATTTATTCGTTGACTTAATTCTCTTTTTTGTTATTAGTAAACTGTTTATTTTGGGTTAAGGAAGCCAACACTCTTTTCGGTGTTTAATATTATACATAGTTGCAATTGTGATCGTGTCGGGATAATGTAAATATGAGGAAATAAGTGAATAGTTTTAATAATTCTGACACATGTCATTATTTGTCATTGTATTCCGATATAATTCTTATCTCTTGAAAGCAAAATAATGCGTATTTTACAATAATAATCATATGTAATATGAAAACAATATTAATGTTTTTTCAGCGTCTAGATTTGGGACCAATGATGATACTGCATTTGACTTATGTTTCTAGCATTAGGTTGTAGAATGAACTCAACATGTCTTATTTAAGCGCTACAGAAAATGTAAGGTAAATTTACTATAAAAAACTATTAGAATAAAACTAATGTAACAATAATTAGGACACAAATAAATTGCCCTATTTTAATTCTTCAACAACCACAAAATTAAAAAGTAATCATCAAATACTATACTGTTTGTCAGTAGTTTCTCTTATCTAAGAATTTATTTGAGATTTTACAGTTTCAGTGGAATCCCACAGAACATTGCCGATGCAAGTTGTGCCAGTCAGTATAAAATGGCAGTGGACAGTGTACCAGGAACATGTAACAGTGAAGCAAATTTGTACATTAATGATAGTTCTGGTGATGAACAAAACTACATACCACACTTGTCGGACAACTTCTTTCATTCAAAATTCAAAATAGATCCCAACGAATTGTATACATTTCATGATTCAGATGTAATCGCTGGAGAAATCACTGTTAGCCATACAGAAGACAACTTCATCTTTGATAATGAAACAAAACCCAAGATCTTAGACAGTCCAAATAAAGAACTTGACATACTGGGTGTTTTCAATGGGGAGATCAAAGAGGAACCAAAAGAACACATTTTAAATGGTCATTACTCACCTGATGAAGTTCCAAATGCTGTTAAAAAAGTAGCTGATAAAAAGATTAGTAATGCCAAAGTAAAAAGAGGTCAGAGTCCAGCCAATTGCATGAACCATCCAAAAATTACTGTTGTGCGTCGCCCTATACAAAATGCCAAACAGGTATCACAGGGTAAAGTTGTGTTGACTAATAATACTGTCCTTAATGAAAAAACACCTAGTGGAGCTGTTATGTCTGGTACAGAAACATTTTTAGATGTATTTAAACGTGAGCACTGCACGTCTGAAAAACAACCAGGAGTTAACAAGACTGAATCCTATGTTGCACCTGTTAAGATTCCCACTGCGGCTAAAAAGTCTGCAGGTATACATTATATTATTGTTACCTTTAGGATCTACTAAACCTGATAGAAAAACATATAATACTAAACTACTAAACTAAACTGACACGATAGCGCAATTGTTTAGAGCAACAACACGGAATGTTGTGTATGCCAGTCCAAGTCCCGACACATATCCAAGATTTTTCAAATTTATAATAGATTTTTTATTTATTAGGGTATAGAAGTTGTACCAAGTACTTCTTCTTGGTAAAGAAAACTGATTAGTGTACCTACATATGTATGTCCCGTGTTCTATTTAAGGGAAAATTGAGTTTTACTCATTCTTATAAAGTTTAATATTATTCCTATATTGCTTTGATATTTGAGTCCCAAGACATGTTATCCTGATAGCCATCTTGAATAGCACTATTGAAACGTTAAGGTTAAGGTGTCTCATAGTAATAGCCTTTTTGTCGATGCAAATACATGCAGGACATTATATAGATGTGGCCTATTTTTAGTTTAAAATTATGGTGTATGCTTAGTACAGATTAGATAAGCAAATCCAAGCAATCTCTAGTGCTACATTAGTAGCACTAGAGATTGCTTATACACATATATTGCATATACACATAGTATGGTATAAAATGACAGCAGCACCTATGTTGTCTTTTTATACTATAACTACCTACCCTCATTTTTAGTCTTAAATACAAATTTAGCACAACAACATGTTAAAAGGTGCCTATTTGAGAGATAGTATTTTATTAGTATAAACTGTACTGGACAAAGTCTATTTTTTAATAATACCTAATATGGTTTTAGTGAAATCATCAGCAAAGATAAAAAAGGGAAGAGGTCCAATACAACATGAAGCACTGCAACGGATACCAGTTCAGAGTAGAGCAACAGTTGTTCCAAATAAACAGTGGCATGCACCGGGTGATGAGTTATTTCAATGTGGTCCACTCGATGTTCAAAACACCAATCCATATAAACTGGAAAGCAGCAGTAGTGATGATGACAATATGCCTGATTTTGGTATTACATGAAACCTTTTTTATAACTTTAAACTTATAAAAAAGAATACAAAACCACTGTCAAATGGAAAAATACATACACTATAACTCACTTAACACAATTTCTCGTAGGGAAGGTAGGATAGGGAAAGTAAAATGTAGGATATAATATTCTTATGTGTTAAATGTAATGCTTTCTCGCATAGTATAGCACCACTTATGGGCACCCAAAGTCACCCTTGATGAAGCCATTACACTAAAGTTTTTCATCCATTTTTTGAACTTGCCTAATGTCCTTGGTGACTACTATTTCTCAGGGACTGCCTGAATGGCAAAAACGCATCTTAAGCGGCAAATCGTACTACTGTAGTTTCTTTATTAAGAAATTTAAAGTCTTATTTTTTGTTAAAGAAAAGTGCTTATAAACAGTTTTACTAATCTACTAATAATTAATATATGTATTCATATATTTAAATTACGCATTCTTTACATATAGAATGGAATACTTAAGCTAATTAGGAACAATTAAAACCTCGTTAATATTTCTAAAACAGTGATTGTTTGTTACGCTTTTACGACTTTTTATTATTTCCTTTATCATTACACGTTATATAACTTGTATTGACTGTATACAAAACATATAATGTTCCATGGTTCCACTATATTCTAGAATAACTATACTACTATAGCAACTATGTGTTTCTACAGATTATATAAAAAGGCCCTTTTCTGTCATACAAAAAATACTTTTATATTACTTATATATACATGTTATGTATGTCAGAAAAAAATCAAACCATAGATAATTATTCTAAAATACTAAATAAACGTTCTGCATAATTCTGTTTATATTCAATGAATAATACATACTGTAATATCTTTATCGATAAATTCAACAACCTCATTTTCTAATATAAATGAAGATCTGTTATAATGATGAAAAATAATTTTAATTTTTTTATCTTTCGATAGAATGTAGCTCGGGTCCCATATGTGTAGAAGAGTGTGCTGCGGAATCTCGCAGTTCCCGGCTAGAGTTGCGTCGGGCCGCTTTAAGAAGACATGTAATGAGAACAGCCGCGTCGTTGAGTTTATCTAAAAAACACACTGGCCATAGAGATCTAGCTCATCTAATAAAGGTTAATCTTAAAGTATGCATATAGTTCCTTTGTTGAAATTGTATCAGTCGGACGTCAGATTTAATAATAAATCAACGAATGATATTGGGATGTCTTGATAACTTCTATGGAAATTAAAAGAGTACTATAATGTATTAATACTATTATTCTACAGAAGTTTCATGTTCAAAGGGTTTTGTTGAGTACCTTCGAGGGACAGGATAACCCACCCAGCTTATTTTGGTACTACCCGTTACTCTACTTACCTGTAAGGATAATTCCAGCATTCGATTTAAAACATATGGGGCTTCACTTTCTTATACATTTCCAATTTTTAAATATAAGGTTATAATTCTTAATCTATTATCTGTATTTTCAGAAACAACTGAATGAAAGCAGTTCGTGTCGTCTTCCACAGCAAACTGTAAATCATTTGTTAGCGATGCGCGGTATGTCAGCGACGTTATCTTTACAAGAGCGGCGAAAGTTACGGTAAGCAGAATTTAAGTTACAACTGACATTATGACTGAAATATAATGAGACAGACGTCCCTTAAAAGATACTTGACGAAAGTATATTAAGAACCTATTAGTAAAATTTTATTTTGTATTTTACAAAACATTTGTATAAATTGTATTAAATTATTTCATACGCCTTACTTTGTATATTATAGAATACAAAACTTAATAGTATGAATACCTAGTAGTTACTAACAGCTAGTAAGTCAACCTATCAAAATGTTATATTCGAACTAACTGATCACTCAAAATACAGAGCAAGCGGCTGGTCAGGCGGCGACAGCAGTAAACTAGACGCCCAGGCAACAAGTATGTGCGCTGAAGAGAAGTGTACGCAATCCCCGCTGCCTTGCGGTCGATATTGCTTGAAACATGTAACGCTAGCACCAGAACAGCGGTTATACGCGGCGTGTGCAGCGGTATTCGCTGGTGGAGAGCGCTGTAAGCAACCGTTGTTGCCGCTCCGAGATCAAACGCCGCTGTGTCCCGAACATGCTTGGAAACGGGTATGGGTGACTGGGTCAATAGTTTAAGTATTATCCGGCTTGAAGGACCCAATTTCTAGACAAAAAGTTTTAATAAGAGCCCTAAACGGCTCTTATTACATTTATTATAGAAGTAATATGATGTTTTTTTTACGTTTTCGAGTTTCTCATTGTAAAAAGTTGGAATTTGTATTTAAAAAAAACTTGTATAGCCGATATATTTCTAGGTATAGTGGAAAAACGTTCGTCTAGCCTAGTTTCGTTAAATATAGTGTAAATTATTATTACAGGACAATTACGAGTTGCTAAGCCGCGAAAGCAAACCGCAGAAGGCAGTTCGTAAACGGGCGTGGGTGCCGTCCAATCGCACTGTCCGTCCGCCCAGGAAGCCTAAGCGACGTCGCCGACTGGTACCTAAGAAACCACCCGTGCATACCCAGTCTTTGTCAGGTTGGTACATTGTGTATGACCATTCTTAAGCACACAGTAAACGTCTAACGGGCATATTACGTTTTTTTTTTTAATGTTTTCAGAAATAAATGCGTACTCGAATTCATCGGCATACGACAGCGAAGACACCGGTATAGGGGGTTTGAGTGAAAGCGAGTATATAGCAGGCGCAAACTCAGCTGAGCTAGGTGGGTAACACGAGATACAAGATGTAATAAATTAATATTGCAAGTAGTACAAGATATAAAGACATACATGGGATTCTGAAACGTGTACTCCAGTAATATAACTAAATAAGACGGACTGTCTACATATTTTGGTTTTGGATATTCGGAAACGCGATTAAACTTCACGGCGATTTCTGTGATCTCTGATGATGTTTCGTGACCCGGGCGGAATTTCAATATTCCCCAACGCTTTTGTATACCGACTTTTCCGACGGAGTACGTGTTTTGAAAAAGTTATACTTTAAAAACATGCTAGACCTGGGTTTAATCAGGGGTCGAGCCCCCGACCCTTGATTGTAAGCTGTACTTTGTTACTGTTGCAACGAACTTCTCAAACAAGAAAACCAATAGATAACAAAATCCTTTAAAAGAGGAAAGAGCTAATTGTTGTCCAAAATTCTTAACTGAACTGTATAGTCGCCAATGTCCATCGCAATTCTTAAATCTGTATATGTTAGAATCAATTTAATTTTCTTCTCATCTTAGCAGAGGTAGGCCATGTGCCTCCAGATGACATCCTCGATCCGAACGTGCTCAGCCAAATGCCAGATGAAGCTTTTACGGAATTCTTTAATCAAGGTAAAATTTCAATTTCTTTATTACCCCCACCTGTCTAAGACTAATAATTTGAAGACATTATTTTTTCACATGTTATCCACAGCTCTACTTTTGCTCTAACCAATAGTGTAAGACACAATAATGCGCAATTGGTTAGAGCATTAGTAGTACGGAACGATGTCGGTTCAAGTCCTTTCCATTTAAGTATATTTCACAATTTTTTTTTTTACTGTTTACTTTTAAAAATTTTCTTAGTTTCCATTTTTATCCTTCCCCTCCCCTCTTCCCATTATTTTAAACCTTAAAAAGCTAAACAGTAGTTATTTATAGAAAATAAAAATAAAATAAAATATTCCTTATCCTCTTAAAAAAATTAAAAATAATTTAGATTCGTCAAAATTTTTTTGGATGTATTCAAAAGAGCATCATAACTGAGAAGAACACCCAAGAAACTCAACTCAGACCGACTTTTTTTAACATGTCATATAAACAAAAACATTGTGAATTTATTACCCTAAGTATTACACTGTACTGTGAAATATTTTTTTATAATGCTTGTAAATAAATAATGAATAATGTCATTTAACAGCTGAGGGTGGTACATTTGGGGAGAGCTGCGAACTCGCGGCCGCATTAGAAGCTGTCTTGGACGAGCGCGCGTTAGACATGCCCGACTGTGTTTTTCAACACTCGCCGTTACCGGGCAACAAGGTATATTTCTATGTTTTAACACTTATTTTTTATAGATATTTTTTGAAAAATGTCCTACTGCTGCCCAGCGTTGTCTCTCAAACGAGATACGGTTCTAAAAGCTTAGTCCCACTACCTTGCTTTACTTGGCAAACTTTTACGATTGAAACAAGGGAAAATAACCGGAACATAATATGCAGGATGCTTCCAAGTTTCAGGCTGGTACAGAAATGTTCAAATATAATAACTAGATTAAATAGGCAGTTAGGTTTGATAGTATAATGTTAGAAAGACAGACAAACTACAAATTATACACTACCATCTAAATTGGCAACTTAATTAATGTGTTGCAATATATTTCCAGATGCAAGTAACAGCAGTAAGCATGGAGTCGTCGAGCACGCCTTCATAACATAAATATAAAATAAGATAAAGTAAAATAAACTCTAATACTATTACAGTTAGGAACAAATTCGTTTACGTGATGTGAAGTTGGAATTTATGCTTTAATTTCGTGTGTTAGTGAAATGTTGAAGTGTTAGTAGCAAGGAACGGTCGATTCTTGTAGGTAGGCAGGAAAGTTCCGAGTTTTACAACGTATAGCTTGAGATTTGGGTACAGTTGGTTTCCTGGACTAAACGTTAAGACCGCAAATCGAAAAAGGTCTTGTGTTATAGTGAAATATCTTTTAGATGTTAAAACGCTATTAACTATTTGATATTCATACCTATGTCAGAATCATTAACTCCTAAGTCTTTATTAGAACGCCATCAATTGACGTATTTCCGTAAAATCAGCATCGATGTTAAATATTTTGCATTATGGGGCTTTATATTAAAGATCAAGTTCTTACAATCGCATATTCGGAAGACTCTGCTTATTTTTCCATTTTACTTAAATTGCTTGTAAATATATTTAGCGCGTAGAGTCACAATTCGTCTAAATCAACGTGAAACCGAGAACAGTATTAAGAAAACAAGGTTTTTTGGTTACATTTTTTGCATTTTTAGAAAATCGATCAAATTTTATTTCGATAAGTATTCCTAGGTTAGAATTGGACATTGTGGGCTTTCGAAGTAATTTTCGGAATTTTTAGCGATATTTTTAAAAGTTCGAATGAATTTCAACACTCTATGGTAAGTCGACGTAGATAACATATGTTCCTAATAATAAAAATATTGTGATCTTATTGGCAAAACGATAGAACAATTCTTTTAAAAATATAATTTACTTTAATCACGAAAAGTACAGTAGGTTAATAATTTGTATATAATTTAAGAATCCTTCATGTTTCAGAGTTGCTTCGTCAACACATTATGTAAACTTTTCGACGTCGACATTTCGAGCCTTAAATATACATATATATTACTTATCGCAAATCAATAACCGTAATATAAAATATATACACCAAAAATATTTATTGTACTACAAAATTGTTGCAATAGTATTTGATTTATAACGAAAATCGAACTACAGCAATCCTTCATATCTTGTTACAAATGTAAAAAATATTTAGAAATAGATAAAAAGTTACATTTTGAATCGAGATGTTTATCAAGATAAATATTTACAGCTCGTCTAAAAAGCGATCTCGATAAGTCGATTTTCGTAATAGGTCTGAAAAAATTAAAAGTCAAATACAAATAAATTACGGTTCAACACGCTAGACTACGAACGTATTGCCTTATTAAATGAAGTAACAGAAGCAATATCTATTCCATGTTTTGTTAGAAAATAACAAAGCTTGGAACTTGAATTTTTATTACGGTACAATTCAGTAATCAAGTTGAAAATAGTTTTATTTAAAATGAGCTACTTAGCCCTTTGAGATTTAAATGAATCAGAATTGTATTTAATAGACGCGATAGCCAAGTATGTAAAGCTGAGAGAGAAAGGGAGAATGATTTATTTTTGCCCTCTTGTAAAATCACACTACCGAAGCAAATATAATTTTGGTAAAAGGACTTTGCATAGAAATCTTGATTAAATGGTGACGCGGAAGCAAGTTGTCGAATCAAGTGTGAACAAGCCACGCCTCCAAAGTTTTGACAATTGTCAACGAATACTACAATTGAAAAAGTGCTATACTTAATTTATTTCCGTGGCTTTATGAGTACCTTATTCTAAAGAAAGTGTAATCAAATATATCAAATATGTTTAAAACACCAAAAATTTTATCGCACTAATGTTATAGTTATTAGTGTTCGCTAGACTTCAAAAGTTACATATTGTCTTTGAATAAAGGGTTTAAGGTGTTAATTGAAATTTGTTGGCATAAAGGTTGATGGATTCGAATTCTAAAAATTCATCAACTGATATAGAAAAAAATACAATGTCATGGTCCGGGTAAATACTATAATAAATATTGCCAAATAGATAGACATGGTACTATGAAAGGAATCTTAAATACTATCCCACTTCTGATATCAACATTCTAAACCGTAAAATAAAACACTTCTAACCATTTAAAATGCGAAATATTAGTTAAATTATTTATTTGAACTACAACCGGATGTTTCTGATGTTTCGCAGCAGCCTTCGTTACGAGGGGACGAAAGATGGGGTGTTCCCACTGTCAAATCTGCTTCCTCGATATTGGTATTAGGAGAAATTTGCTGGTTCTTCACAGAACTGACTCACGGTGTCCACTCGTGTACTGGTGGTACTTCAAAAAAATTTCGATATAATTTAACAATTGTATTTCTCGTTTTAAACCGTTAAAAGTGTTTAAATATGTATTTGCATAAAAACAGACGATATTTATTCTAAACTGTTTTAAAGAATTCCAATATAATATCTAATGAACTGCCTTGTACCTTAACCTACGTAAACAGGAGGTAGGTCTACATCGGATGCGCTTATCCACACGTTACGGTACCTGCACTTTCCTTTTATATCGATATACAAATCAATAGATATAGGATGTTTGTAAGTGCGATTCAGTAGCTAGTTATTTATTTGTACGTTTTGTAGATCAATTGGAACTGACTGCGCTTAGGGAGATTAAATAGAATAAGCTTTTGCACCTTTAGTCTAAGCCTCTATAGTGGTAGAAGGGAAAATTGGGTTCGCTTTGAAACCGGAGTTTGAAATACTGTCTTTGTTAAGCGCTTGGTACAACTGTGTCTGATGGAACGTCTACGGGGTGTTGGTGCAGTACATTGTACCTCAATTGGAGCTTGAGTTAGAGTAATAGCACGGCACGCTGTGTTGCCATGTGCATTAACATGTAAAAAATATGAAAATTTTCAAAATGTAACCTCTGTCATTTCATCTTCAAAGATTTTTAAACTGCATAGCATAAGACAATGAACTTTAAAACGTATGTGTTAACGTTTATATTACATTGCCCGAGGGGATGTGTGTATTGTTGGTTGAAGAAAGTCGACGATAACGTGTAGGTCCAAGGGAAGGTACCTCAATTGATTAGAGCAGCAGTACAGAACTCTGTGGACCTGCCCGTGTCGTAATTTTTTTTCAATCCAAATACATTTTTACTTGATGCTTACATTATTACATTTGGTTAACTCTATTGGGAGTGCTTCTTGTAGACCGGGGTCCATGACCTAAATGTAATCATATAAATAACTATAAGACACCTGTTGTTTCTGACACCAAATGCGCTATTATTCTTCGACTTATTTTCAGTTCATATAATGTATAAATGTCTAAATTCTGAAACTAAACGATTGTAGATGATAAAGGCAGTGGTTCGATTATGGTATGACAGTGTGATAATTAGTTAAGTATTCTAGATACTTATGAGGTGAGGTGTTCACAATTTGTCTGTCATGAATCCCGTGCTTTATAGACTTAGTGAATCTATAAGTAATTGATGTAATAGGGGTTATATTCATAGTAGATGCTAGTTATAATCGAATAATGACAAAATCCATACCACGGAAGAGTAAAATAAATGGAATTGTGTCATAGACAACTTATGAACTAAAAAATATAGATAATACAAATTTTACATAACAGGTATCAGGTTACAACCCTGTCTTTTTATAACCTATTATGTTTGTCATCAACGCATGCAAACGATTGTGTCAAATCAGTGACCACAAACCTTTTATTCTAAAGCTTCTATATTCTCCTAATCGAAAGTGGTTTGGTATCTGTGGTTTTGGAAAGGTGAATGACTTTTTCATTTGTTTTCTCTCCCGTGTTTGCACATACAACAGCCTTATAGTAGGTTCATTTTCATATATATAATATACACGTTCAATAGCCCATTTTATACGAATGCGTTACAGGACTAGCGGCTCCTAAAGGAAGGTTTAAGGTTAAAATTAGATTCTCTCTCGGTAATGTTGCATAGATTCGAAAGATAAGAGAAACAACTACCTCTACGAATGCCTGAACTTGTTCCAGTGTAATGTCCATGTTGTTGAATTGGAAATAAACGGTTAAAATATTAACTGCGTGTTAAATTGACCTTATTTGTTTTTGAAGGCAAATTTAAAGGACCTTTTGCGTTTGTAGTTTATGAGCGACTGTTTTATCGGTATACTGTGCGCGTGTAGACTATACTACTACAAACGCAGTGACATCAGAGTGCATTTGTTTGTTTTGTAACAATCATTTTGTGTAATAGCCCGCATATATCATCAAGAATTAATACTAAGCACTGGTGTGTCAAGCAAAAACAATCAATAATCTGAACTTCATTTATTTTCCACACCGCACTAGACATGGCTCGTCAATGGGCTTATTTCTATAGAAACTTTTATCTCTTAAGAAATATATCGCATGTATCTTGTTAATAGCAAAACTACCCTCCTGTGTATAGAATTGTTAATCTACCTTTCAGATTTAGGGTCAAGTTATTCTTGTCAATGTATGTAAATGTTCGCGTTCTATTTTTCATTGTATTATACTTTCATAAACCCCTTGAATTTGTACCATATGCTTTTTAGCGAACCCACCGACTAATTGGAAGGTTTGAAATGAAACAAATGAATATAGCTATAGGTATTTATTTTTGACACATCCACTAACACGAAGTTTGAACTCTTAAGAGTCTCTTCCATTTTTATAAGGTGTGGGTACTTGTAGATATTCTGTAGGTACGTGTAACATACTTATACTATTTTTATATACGTTTTTATCTCGATAGATTCCAGTGTCCGATTTGCGAATAGCCTCTTTCTATAATTTGACAATGTGTTTGGTCTCTTAATATAAGTTAGAATCGTATATTTTTGTAATAATAGTTAAGGAAGCATTTTTAGTTCGTAGACATTGTACATTATGTAACTCCAGCAATCTGAACTTGTAATTTATGTGTAGTAATAAACAGTTTATTGTACTTTTTTATTTTTTTTTAACAAAAGATATTTTTCATTATACGTTAAAAGAGTATTTATACATTTTTAGATAAAATATTTTTTTCTTTTTTTAAATTCGAAT